TCTGTCTCTTCTTCAGAGTCCGAGTCCCTCAGTCGTTTGACCAGAACTCTCTCCAACATCTCTCTATGTGGAGCAAGAGAAAAGAGAAGTCTAAACCACACTATATTATATCATTTACACTTCTTAATCTTGACATTACATGCATTGGAAAAAAAATACTTTCACTGTGAATGCATATGACCCCATAAAGGTGCAATTATTGTGATATGCAAATGTACACGGTAAACAATATGGACACAATTATCAAAAAACATCAACTTTTTAGGTTAACATACAGGAATATTTAAATTTTGCACATAAAGCATATTTTAGATGCAGCAATCTACAACCGCACGATTTTAAGGGGGAAAAATCATATTTTTCCTGATTAAAAAATAAATAAATACAGGTTTGCTTTGCTTGTTTGTGGGGCTACACAATATGAATTTTTCATTCTCATGAACTTAACATTTTGAACATTTAATCATCTAATTTCTATTGACAGAAAACTTCAGGGAACCCATAAAATTGATCTTTTGTTAATAAGTGCTTATTACAAGTCACTACAAGTCACACTAACTCCCTCCTCTACCCCTGGGCTTTTTTTTTTTTAATGATTCATACATTTTATTTTCTTGAATGGGCTTGAATTAACAGATAATTAAATGACCCTTGGTCATTTTTGTGTTTTTTTGTCTTGGTAATCCTTAATCAAAATCTGAACATTTGCTTCCACTCTGGAATGGCATTCCTTCTCTGATGATGTCATCCTTAACCACACCCCTCCAACCATTAGGTTGCTATGAGTAAGAGACAGAGAGGAGGAGCACTAAAACAAAACCCCGCCCTCTATTCAATATTCTGTTTCAGTTGGAAATACGTCACCATACTGAAATAAAGTCTGCAGCAACTTCCGGTTCACACCGACTTTAAATGAACCTGTAATGTGACCAATGCATTTTTAAAATCTCAAAATCCAACATATAGTGTATGAAGCAAAATGGCCAAATGCTTCAAATAGTTCAAACGTTTCTTACTTGGTCTCTCGTTCATCTTCCTCCTGATCTCTTTCTCTCTGTCTCCGCTCCATCTCTTTATACTGGTCCAGCATGCCCTCAAAGTCCACCTGCGCCTGCCTCTGGTTCAGCTCCTTCAGCTCCTGCAGGTTCTCCAGCACCTCCATCTCCAACTTTGAGTCCCGTGTGCGGTTCTCCAGGACCTGTGACAGCATTCAGGGAGTTATGTTTTAAGTTTGCATGGGCTTTTGTTTGCTTCCTTACAAAGATGCTGTAAAGACTTTATGCATTAAATGTGAAAAACATTTATAAAAAATAACAAAGCTTTTGCCAAAATAACAACAACAAAAAACTAATCACAAATAGCAAAACTATATAAATCCCTAACAAAACTTCTAATATCATAAAACACACACAAGTAGTCTTTAAAGTTTCTATCAGACCTTCATGGGGTTATTGAGTTCTTCTTCCTCTCGGTCTTGTTGGATCTTTTTCTCCTCCTCTTCAATCAGTTTCTCAGCCTGAAAATTTCTTGTTGCACCATGTTCCATGGCGTAATCTGTGCTCTCTGGATCTGTCTGTGAAACACAGCAATCAGATGAATTGCAACTAAACAAACACACAAGACTAACAATAAAAACTCCTTAAGTGTTTGTGTGCTGGTTTTAAAGAGTATGATGTGCGTGTTTATTCTAGTACCTTGAAAGTGATCTCAGCCAAGCATCTGGTGCATTTAATGTAGAATCTGAAAATGGGAAGCCCCAGGTACAGTTCGTTCTGAACGGTCTCCTTACGGGCATTGAACTTCTTCCCTTTGTAAATGTACTCTCCACACGTTTTACACCTGTGTACCAACAAGCATTATTGTCTCAAAGACGATATAATCTCTAATAAATCAAAATCCAGATGTTTTCCTCACTACTAGAGAAATCAAGAGAATTTTCACTGTTAAAAATCGTTTCACATTTAATATACTTAGCTTGTTGTATTTAATTGATCATTTCCTATCTTGTTTTTGCAGTGATATATATTGGTCAAAGAAGAGACATCCAATTCTTGCGTCTACATCAAATTAAATCAAAAAAATTATATACACATAAAGCATATTAAATACAAATAAAGTGTCGACTTTTATGTTTCAAATAACTTTTGTGAAGAAGAAAAAAAAAAACTTCAAAATATGGGTGAAATTATGTTCCATCGTCATTCAGTGTAACAGATATATTTATGTAAAAAATAAAATAGCATACTTTTTCTGACCTGTACTTATATAAAATATATAAATGAATCTGTAAATTCTATTATATTTTTATTAATATCTTCTCACTGACAAATGGGGAAAACCTACTGGTTTGAAAGATAGTGGCAAAATATTTGACATTTTGGAGCTGCGCTGTCTAGGCCTGTGGCAATAATCAATATATCGACTTACCGCGCAATATATGTACATGACCTCAATAATTTTGTGACGCAATATATCGGCTATTATATATACTTAAAAATTAATGTCACCATGTTTTGTACATTCCACTTGCGCTTGTGTCTTTTGCAGCTTCTCGTACATAACGTGGTGTAGTCATGAGGAACTAGTTCAAATTTAAAAAGTGCTTCTACAAAAAAAGTTTCATCTGCAGATATGGTCTTGTTTAGGGATCTGACTGCGGAGTAGTGATTGTGTTTTTCAGCAATAGTGTGCACGCTTAATTTACAGAGAAAAGAAGGTCCGGGAAAACTCTGTAGATGGAAAAATCTCCATACAAGTTCTTAGTGCATTTTTCTCTTTTTCTACTTGTTACTTTGAACTTTCTGTTAGAAAATGTTTATTTACTATTTATTCAGGTTTTTTAAAGTATCTAATATTTTGATACTTAATTTCCATGATCTAAATATTCTTAAAAATGTATTGTCATTTGGAAGTGTGTAGGCCTTCTTGCATTATTATGCCTTTACATTATGATTATATATTCAGTGGCATAAAATGGTGTTTAAAATGACAATAATATCGCTTATCGCAATTATTTCTGGGGCAATATTTCGCACGACTAAAAGTTGTTATCGTGACAGGCCTAGCGCTGTCATCCTTAAATAGAGTCTTTTAATGTCATTTAATAACTTTTGTTCGACACAAATTTTTTATACAAACTATTGTTACAATGAATAACACTGCTTTCTGTAAAACGTGGTAAAAATGTATAATAGTCAGTTTTTTTTTTTTTTTTTGCTCAGAAACATTTGTTCCACTATCCTCAGTTGAGAAGCTTTCTAAAATTATTATTATTGCATATTATTAATTTCTAAAAACATGTATTTATTTAAAACCGGCAAGAACAAATATACTATGTATACATACTACATAAAACATACCTCATATTAAAGGGTGCCATCAGTCTGACCACATACTGACGGTCTTTGGGCAGTTTGAGTTTAGGGATTTTAGACGGATCGAAATCCGGAGGATAGTATTTCTGAGAAAAAAACAACAACAGATGCTGTAAGGTGACAGTTTACCACAGTAATGCCCTTTGTAATCAGAAACGTCTTTAAAGGTTTACCTCAGGAGGTGTATTCAAGATTATTTCAACATATATGTACGTTATGAACATCGAAAACATCACACAGTAAATTAGGAAAACGAATTCATATCACTTATTTAACTTAGCTAACGTTACTTTATTAGCATGCTGATATTTCTACTCAAATAACTAACGTTAAGTTACTTAAACCGGTACACAACAATGATATAAAAATTAAAAAAGGAGGTACTTACATTCAAAACTTTTCTTTCCGACATTGCTTTCTTTAATTGACTAAAATGTCAACTAAAAACGACAAATTACTGCTCAGCTGTGCGCTTCTTCTTCCTCGACGTCAAACGCTGTGTGTATATCAGTCACTCACGCGCCGCGGTGCTGCCACCACCGGCAGAGCGTCGGTATTACAAGCCACTAGAGAAGGCAAGTGTAGACACGATAAAGAATTACATATTTATAGAACAATACAAGTAGGGTAATAATATGAATATGAATAGCATGCAGAGGTTTGTTATAAACCGGAAGGTGCTAAGGAGAGAAAGGTGGTTTATGTATTAAAAGTAGAACTATACATCGAGGCCACTAGAGGGAGAAGCTGGATAATAAATCTATTCTTAAACAGGAAAGAGTTTTTAATGTTGCTTCTTATTAAAATAATACAAGCTGTAATATTCATGTCATGGAGGAAAGTAAATCTGAAGTGTTTTGGGGGCGATCATTTGTACTAAAATAGACTAAATAGTTGATTGCAACCTTTAGAAACTGTAAACAAACATAGATTTCTGACCTTTGATGGTTATGAGACAGACTGGAAGCACAAATCCTGACGTTAAAGGGATAGTTCACCCAAAAATGAAAATTCTGTCATCATTTACGCACCCTCATGTCGTTCCAAACCTGTATGAGTTGCTTTCTTATGTTGAACATAAAAGAAGATATTTTGAAGATTGCTGGTAATGGTAGTATAGGGCGGTGGTTCCCAACCACATTCCTGGAGGCCCCCCAACACTGCATGTTTTCCATGTCTCCTTAATCAAACACATCTGATTTAGATCATCAGCTCATTAGTAGAGACTCCAAGACCTGAAATGGGTGTGTCAGACAAAGGAGAGATACAAAATATGCAGTGTTGGGGGTCCTCCAGGAACGTGGTTGGGAACCACTGGTATAGGGGGAAAAATACTATGGAAGTCAATGGCAACCACCAACTGTTTGATTACCAGCAATCTTCAAAATATCTTCTTTTCTATCCCTTTAAAACTATACTGTGTCTAACCAGTTGCGCCCGAAGAGTTATAAACCAGTCAATAAACACATAATACAATCGATACGTGTAATAAAAGAGAAGTAGAGTCATATTTTCTTGCGGTTGAACTCATTTGGCGTGCGCAAATGTTTGGTTATGATGTGCGTAATCCGGCAGCGCAGCTCAAGTGCGCGCAGGGTGTTTGGCACCAGTTCCTGCGCTCAGAGAGACGCGCAAACTGCTGCTGTGCGCCAAATAAACTGGAGACATTTGCAAATGGGCTAAAAACGCACTCTGGTGTCCTTCAATCACGGACGACGTTGGGATACAGAGTTCTTTTTATATGGATGCTGGGAGAATATAGTTAAACTTTAAATTCGGAGCGCGTAAAATGAGCGTTGCGTGGGATTTGAGAGTGATGCATCTGTGCGGAATCCAGATTTCAGTGAAAATCTATGTACCTACAGCAGCAGAGACGGTCTGAAAAATCTTCCAGAGTCCTATGCGGAATATATATTACGTTATACCTACCCATCATGGATCAGATTGGGATTTTGGATTTACATCAGCGCAATACATGGAAAATGCGTGGACGCAGTGCTGCGATTAACGGAGTTTACATGTAAGAAAAAATATTTTATTTACCAGTTAAAAGGGTAAAAGTTGATGAAATATCTCTAGAGTATAAATCTTTGTAAATCGTTCTAGTTTTTCCATTCATTGCTGGTGTAATTACGCATGTAATGATTTAACACATACATTAAAAAGGGACATGCACGTTGAACTATGTAAATAACAGAGGCCAAAGACAGAAGAACATTCTTAAAAGTGAAGATTCTGCATGGTTCAAAGAACCTTATTCTTTTCTTCGATGTATTGTGGATATATGGTTCTTTGGACATTAAAAGTTGTTCTAATAGGTTCTTTAGATCAGTTTTTAGATTCTCATCTGTTAACACAGAACATATAGTAAGTCCACGAAAATATTGGATTTCCTTTTCAATTCAACTTGGAAATAAGTTGAGAGATTTGAGGATTTAGAACCATTTAAAACAAAGAAAAGCATGTATTTTGAAGAAAGAAAAAAAAAACAGTGCAGAAAAGGTGCTTACCACTAATGGAAGTAAATAAGCATTTGGAAAGAGAGTAAGGTGTTTTTCCACTGGAGCACAAGATGCTCTGATGGAAAACATGATCTTGAGAGTTTGTTCATGTCCGCTCCAGTCAAATTCAATCCAAATTCAGAGACAGTATCGAATTCATCTTAATTTGCACAACTGCAGTGCTGATTGGTTTCATGAACTGTAAACAGTGAATCCAACCTGAAAACTAATGTCAAATGTTTGTTGACCTAATGGTGACTTTTTCACCTTTTGCTAAACAACTGCTAGAGCCTGATTCTACACTCTTAAAGGTTCTTTATTGGCATCTATGGTTCTATAAAGAACCTTTATCATCCATGGAACCTTTCCATTCCACAAAAAGGTTATTCGCAGCTAACAAGAATGTCGGAGAAGTTATGAAAACATTATTTTTGAACATCCAGTTTAATGTCCATGCAGTTTATGTTTTAAAAACTTTTTTTCTTGGTTACACGAATGCTAGGGGAACAATCCATTTCATCATTTTACAAACAGTTTGTGATTATTACCTTTGAACGTTCTGTGAATGTAGTTACATAAAAAAAAAAAAGTACATAAACGTTCAACTAATGCATTTCATAGAAAGATCTATGAACAATATAATTAACATTTTTGTGTTACCTTCATGAGAACATAATCAAAGACCAGACAACTGATCGATTAATATTGCAAAAAGAACATTTGTTCATATCATTGAGAGAACCATGCCAGAACGTTATTTGAGAATGTTCCCTGTTTACAGATTTACAGAAATGTAAAGTCAAAACATTCTTTGGGGAACCAAAATGGTCCTTCTATTTGCTGCAAAACCCCTTGTGATGCAGAGGTTGCGGGTTTAATCCCTGTACCTTGAATGCACTTTGGACAAAACAATCTGCTATATGCACTAATGTAAAGGAGGATCTATTTCTCTGTGTTGAGTGTTTGAACCCAACTGGTTCTCTGTCCTCACTTGTCTCTCGTCGGTTGGAGTTTAGCAGCTAATTCAGATGGCCTGCAGGGAGGACATGGATATAATGCATTATGGGACAGCACTCTACATCCCATTTAATGATCCTTAATGGATCTGTTGGTTTTATCACGCCAGTCAGAACAATGAGAAATCAGTGAAAGCTAGCAATTGCGTTGTTGTGAGTTTAATGATTTTTGGAGGAAAGGACTGTCATTTCTTTTTGAAATCACAGTAAAAATAAATAAATAAATGTTTTCTAATGCATTAAAATGATTCAGAATGCCTTACAATGCATTATACATTTTAAACAGTATACTGTAATAATTTAAAGTTAGAGCATGTTATAATGCTTTTTTTAAAAACAGTGTAAGAATGGATTGCTAAGCATTACAGGTACATCTCAAAAAATTAGAATATCATGAAAAAGGTCAATATTTTTTGTCACTCATTTCAGAAAGTGAAACCCATATATTATCTAGATTCATTACACAGAGTGAAATATTTAAAGCCTTTATTTCTTGAAATTTTGATGATTATGGCTTACAGATAACGAAAACCCAAAATTGAATTCAAATTTTTTGAGATGTACCTGTATATTGAGTTTTGATATGTTTCAAGCAGATGTTGATTCTAATGATTTTATCATTAGAGTGCAGTCTGGCCAATAAAATGCCAACAGTTTGCATTATACAGTTAATAAGGAATTGAAATGTGCATAAAATTGATTGAATGTAATGAAACATTTACTCACTTTTGAATACAAGAGCTGATGCTGACAATCTTAAAATGGGCCAATTTTGATTTATCGGTATGACTGATCACTAATTTCAATTGTTTATGAAAAGTCATCTTATTTTATATAGTGTTTTATACAATACAGATTGCTTTAAAGCAGCTTCACAGTAATAAACAGAAAAATAACAGAATCAATGATGCAAAAAGACAATGCCTAACATTATACAGCATTATGAATACCTTTAAAATGATATAATTGGCATAGAAAATAGATGGATGGATGTGTTTGCAATGATCACAAAGGCCTGCCTTAATTCTCAGAAATGTCTCAGTAAAAGTGACTAAATTGGTAATACAATCTCTGTTTGCTGTGGGGAAATATTTGTGCTTCAGCATGCTGCCATTGATTCCACGTTGTCTGAAAGAATAAGCAAATCCTGCGTGAACTTGATTAAAAAGTGTCAGGTGTCTTTTGTCTGTTGGATGAGATATTGCAATTGGCTTTGTGCAATTAATCAAAAACACAAGCTAGATGTTGTATTGAATATGACCATATGGTCAGCTATTTTGATTGTTTTCTCCTCAATCAACAAAAATGGCGATATGTGAATCATGAAATAAATCAAAATAAGATTAAAATATATACATCAAAAACAATAATTCTTCTAAATAGAATTTTGGTGAGGACTGCCTAAACCAGTTGCGCTGAATGATCAGTCTAAGTTTAATAAAAAAATAATATAACCTACTGAAAAAGTTAATACAATCAAGAGTAGCAATACAAATAGATGAAGAACCCAAAGAAAACAAGAGTGTGGCATGAAAGAGAAAAAAATCCTATGTGTGTGTGTGTGAGAGAAAGTACTACTTGTTAACTTACTGTTGACTTACTTTGATTACATTATGTTTGAGAGAATGTGACAGTCATTTCGACTGACATCAGCAGACAAACGGCTCTACGACACACTCACATCACACTGATTTTGCATTATTAGTTGAAGGATGGGTCGATATTATGAATACAGGTATTTACAAACATTAATTTGAACACTAATCAGCTTGATCAAAAGTCAGGAAATCATACATAAGCCACATTTGTAATTTAAATGACTCTTATGTTCTGAATGGACTTTATGGCTGTAAAGCTTCAGAAATACTGCACAAGGGCAAATGAGAACAGAGACAAGTCATATGGCAGATCATTTAATGGCAATGACGTGCAAATCTGGTTTTCTACAAAATAGGTTGTTGGAACAAAAATAAGTTTGTACAGTATTTCAAACACATTCTGTTCTTTTGAACATTCATCAAATAATCCTGAAAAATGGAATTATGGTTTCCACAGAAAGTTAAAGCGGCACAACTGTTTTCAACATTAGAAATGTTTATTGCAACTTACAGTACATCTTACTCTAGGTTCAATGCCCCTGGAGTAACCTGAGGTTAAAAGTGTTGCTTAAACACAATGATAATAGCTCATAGATCAACATTTTGCTGGGTTTGACGCCATAATCGTCCAGTTTTCATGACCCTGTTTATTTTCTCAATGCATGTTACTAAGCTTATTGCGAATGTTTCATCCATGCATTTATTTATGATATATTTTTCATTTTGTTATCTATAATCAAAATGGCTTTGCATTCACATTTGTCTCAATTCTGGTATGCAGTGGTCACTTTTCACAATCTAATCAACAACCAATGAATAAAAGCCTGGCCTATGTTATATTTTCTTGCTCAAGCTGTTTCACTCTGAAATGTGTCACAGTACAGTAGTGAAGTCAGACAACTTCCATTTCATGCCGACTTAAAATTCACTAGGATACATAAGGTAGCCATGTACTCAAAACAGTGAATGGCAATTAAGCTCTTTGCAAGACTTAAAAAACAAAATTAATATGTAAACGCAACATCCCTGTAGTTTAAAAAGTTTACCATTTGTTGTCTACCCTCATTTGTCACCCAAAAATGAAAAATTGCTGAACATTTACTCACCCTGAGGCTATCCAAGATGTAGATGAGTTTGTTTCTTTATAGCAACAAATTTGGAGAAGCACTCCATCACTTGCTCACCAATGGATCCTCTGCAGTGAATGGGTGCTGTCAGAATGAGAGTCCAAACAGCTGATAAATGCACACAGCTTTTCACATCACAAGACATTAATGGACTGGATGGTGTGGATTACTGTGATGTTTTTATCAGCTGTTTGGACTCATTCTGACGGCACCCATTCACTGCAGAGGATCCATTGGTGAGAAAGTGATGTGACGCTAAATTGATGATAAATTTACAGTAGACGCACATCAGAAGCCATGTCCCACATTAATGTGTCTAAACTGACAGCGGAGTAATTCTCTACAGCTAAGAATTGTGGGTCAGATCAAGCCGTCGTAAGCCACTTTGAGGCTGTGGGTTAGATAACGCTTTCTGGTGAAGAAATGAAAAAATGTCTGCCATGAAAAGGAACAGGAACTTCCCTCTCCACACACTAATCTCCAGAAACACGTCACTCCAGCTGCAATAAAAGCACAGGCTGTTAATGAGGGCGGGTCAGTCCTGCTAGTCGTCAGTTTTACTAATATACACTGTGCACAATTATTAGGCAAGTTGTATTTTTGAGGATTAATTTAGTTCTTGTACAACTACAGTGCTCTTGGTCAATCCAAAATGTTAACAAACCCTCAAACCTGAACATTTTAGTAGTAAAAGTGAAGTTTTGGCATTCTTAAGAGAATATGTACATGTACACCGTTATTAGGCAACTATTAGTGTGCAGAATTATGCAACTAAATGAAAAGCAAAGATCTCACTTGTTTATTTTCACCGGTTAAAGTGAGAATAATACTCCATTTACAAATAAACATTTCTGAAATTTCAAAAAGAAAACCTCAGTGACCAATATAGCCACCCTTCTTTTCGATAACAGTCACAAGCCTTCCATTCACGGAGTCAGTCAGTTTCTTGATCTGGTCAGAATCAACTTTGTGTGCAGCCGCAACCACAGCCTCCCAGACACTGTTCAGAGAGGTGTACTGTTTACCTTCACTGTAAATTTCCTGCTTAAGAAGGGCCCAAAAGTTCTCAATAGGGTTTAAGTCAGGTGAAGAAGGGGGCCATGTCATTAGTTTTTCATCTTTAAGGCCTTTACTGGCCAGCCACGCAGTGGAGTACTTTGATGCATGTGATGGAGCGTTGTCTTGCATAAAAGTCAAAGTCTTCTTGAAAGATGCAAACTTTTTCCTGTACCACTGCTTGAAGAAAGTGTCTTCTAAAAATTGGCAGTAGGTCTGAGAGTTGATTTTGAGTCCATTTTCAACCCGAAAAGGTCCAACTAGCTCATCTTTAATAATACCTGCCCATACCAGTACCCCACCTTGCTGGCGTCTGAGTCGAAGTGGAGCTCTGTGTCCGTTACTGATCCAACCAGTAGTCCAACTACTGATAGTCTGGAGGTTTACGCTGTGAACTGGGAATTCAGATGTTACAGGTCTGATCCCTGGTAAGTACATCCAGTAAACTTAAAAGTCACTGAGGGAAAACCATCAAGCCCTTGAGTACAGCACCTACTGACTCCAGAGGGACCGAACCCGCAGACACTGTGCCGTAAACAAGCTTTTTTAATAGTTTATAGCTTCAAAGAGTGGCTTTCTAACTTTATTTTCCTGTCTGACTCACTCTAGCTTTTGAGTAACTTCTAGTACAGGACGATCAGGATGAAAAGATGGCGACCATGCTCTTGCCAGCGGGTCCTGATGGCTTGCGACCGTACACTCGAGAGTCTCTGGCGGCCATCGAGCAGAGGATCAGCGAAGAGCGGACCAAGAACACTAAGGATAACAAGGCAGACCCGGGGAACACGGAGGAGCCCAAACCCCGCGCCGACCTGGAGGCCGGGAAGGTGCTGCCTCGTATCTTTAGTGACATCCCCGCAGGACTGGTCGGAGTCCCGCTGGAGGACATCGACCCTTTCTACTTCAAAAATCAGAGGGTGAGTCAGTCTGAGGTCACAAGCGGCCTTCAGATGTTTTAGTGCATCTTAAAGCAGGAGTAAGTGCTGTCTAATGGATGTGAAGTTCATGTTTTTAGCTGATAATTGCCGCAGTCCTTGAATAGACGGATGCATTTTATAAATTTGATATAAGTGCATGTAATGATTTTGTCTTGGAAAAAAAATTTCTGTGTTTTTCTGAATCATCTACCTTGAAAGCACCCACCTGGTTCTTCTGTCCAATAGGAAAGAAAAAAATCAATTTCTTTAATATCTCAGTTGTTTCTCCCTGACCACAATGAGACAATCTGGAAAGCAACATCTCACAGATTTGCCAAGATAAAGTCTGCATCAAAAGTCAGAGATCTCAAAAGGAACTCTAACATTTCTCGTCAAATTCTTTCACGACCAAATATTTTGAGTCGCTATTCACATTCATTTATAGACTGTATTGACTCATTTTTGAATTTTCCTAAGGAATTCGGAGAAACGTCTGAGACAAAGTTATTACTTAAATAAATAATTGAAAAACTAACCTTCTCAAAAAAGGCTGGTTGATTGGATTGAATGGCTCATTTTAATTTTATGTTCATTCAATAGTTTTTTTTTATTCACAACCCTTTACACTGCAAAAAATGTTCTTATGCAGTATTTTTGTCTTGCTTTCCAGTAGAAATATCCAAAAATGCTTTTACTGTCAATCAAAATACATTTACTGAACATACAAATTACACAAGTCATTGGCAGATATTTGATTCTCAAGTAAATGTATCTTGATTGAAGAATGTTTAAATATTTGTACAGAGGAAAAAAATACATTTTACAGTGTATACAGTTTAGCACCACTATACTAACAGACTTTGACTGACCAATCAGAATCAAGTATTACAGGCAGCCATGTGATTATCTACTTCTGATATTGCATGTCTGATGCAGATCATTTAAAAACAATAATATTGGCCAATATGGTCACTGATGTATTATGATATATCGGTATGATTGAAATATTGTACCTAACTAAACATTTACATTCATAGCATTTTATCTTTTGTCTTTCTCTTTTAGTCTAACCTTGCCTTGTTGGATTATTTAACCCTCATCCGTCCCTCCCGAACCTAAAACAAAAGTGTCCCTCGCGGGTCAAAATGACCCGAAAACCAAAAATGACACTAATTAGATTTTTGGTCCAGAAAGCTTATATTGGAACATTTTAATAAATTTTTTTGTTCATTTTTTATGTAGATTTTCCTATTATTTTTTGGTGATTTTTATCATATTTACCTATTATTCTGGATATTTTTAAGAAAACATAAGCAAATAAGCAGTTTTTGTACATTATTTCACAAAAAAATCCAAGGAAAGACACAATTTCAGTCCGTTTCATCAAAAACCAACAGATGGCCTTGGAATTGAGTCACTGAGTGTCTCTGATGCCATCTGGTGGGGAAAAATTACATAAAATTGCATTTTATGGTTACAGCCACTAGAGGGGCCTATAGAACTCTATGGAGATTTTTAAAGGGGTCATATGATGCGATTTCAAGTTTTCCTCAAGTGTTACAAGCTGATTGTGCATAGATAAGATCACTGAAGTTGCAAAGACTAAAGTCTCAAAACCAAAGAGATATACTTTATCAAAGTTAAGCTTGAGAGAGGCGGGGCATAGAGGACCTACAATATGTACAAAATACAAAATAATGTACAGTATTTGAAAAATAATGTGTTTTTTGAACATTAAAGCATGTCAACATATTCTGTTACACCAAATACACAAAATAATGATCTTTAAAATAGCATCATATGACTCCTTTAACTGAGCAAAACAAGTGAAACATGAGAAATTAGATCATTTTAAGGCTTCAATTTGGTTGTTTATGGATTAAAACATATATTGAAACATTACAAAATTCATATTTTGTAAAAAAAAACTAACTGAATTATAACCTAAACATATGTATATTCACACAAATTCATAAATATGAAATAAATATATATATATTTAAAAAAATATAAATATGATATAAACTCATTGGTCTTCACCACATAACTCAAATCTACCTGTTAAGTCAAAAAATGGAAAAATGACAATCATATCCCAGCAGAAACATGAAAAATATTACAATGTGTTCTACAAGAGTGTGTGTACCATGTGTGTGTTTGTATATGTGAGTTTTTTCTGCATTGGGGATATTCTGTAGTCTCAGCCCTTCATTTGGGTATAAATCTTTACTGGATTGTCTCAGATTTTGAATATAAAAAAAAATCAAATGTAATGAAAAACGCAGTTTTCTCGTAACTTCCATTCATTCCTATACGGGTCAAAATGACCCGCCAGGGACACTTTTGTTACTTTTTTTATTGCACCCATTTAAACTCCTCGAATCCACTCCAATTTTTTGGGGTGTATTCCCAGCGCAAGTGTGACAAAAGTAAAGAAATCGTGGACCGGTACGATCAACACACGATTTTTAGAATTGTTTTGAAAAAAAAGAGGGACGGATGAGGGTTTTTAAGCATCATACTGTTCAAAAGTTTGGGGGTCGGTAATAATTATTTTAAACAGTTTTGAAAGAATATTCTAAACAAAACTGTATTAATTTGAACAAAAATACAATAAAAACAATAATATTTTGAAATATTATTACAATTTAGAAGACCTGTTTTCAGGTCAGCATCATTACTCCAGTCTTCAGTGTCACATGATCCTTCAGAAATAATTCTAATATGCTGATTTACTGCTCAAGAAACATTCATTTATTATCAATGTTGAAAACAGTATTCTGCTTCATATTTTTGTGGAATCCGTTAATTTTTTAAAATCAGTATTCTTTGATGAATAGGAAGTTTGAAAGACCAGTATTTATTTAAATATATTTACTGTTGCTTTTAATCAATTTAATGCATCCTTGCTGAATAAAAGTATCAATATACTTAAAAAAAAAACACACTGACCCTAAACTTTTGAACGTTATTATATGTGTCTATGACAGCAGAAAAGTGACATTTCATCTGTCCAGATTGACAGTTTTCTTTTTTTTGTCTCTCTTTTCACAGACCTTTATAGTACTAAACAAGGGAAAAGCCATCTTCCGCTTCAGTGCCACATCTGCGCTCTACATATTCACTCCGTTTCACTGCATCAGAAGAATCGCCATAAGAATCCTAGTCCATTCATATCCTTCCACTGCCTCTTAGAAGAACCTTTCTCTATGTGTGCATGTTTATTGCTTGGAGAATTACAGAGAGATTTGATCTGTTTACAGCCGTGCTTCTGATTTGTGTTTAATAACTTGCACAGATATCAGACCCTAAGACCACGAGCTTCTCTAGAAACACAGCTGCACTGAGACATTTTATAAATCTGGTTTCCAAAAGCATAATTTTAAAAGCCAGGTATTCGACCTGGGCCAGTATACAACCACCTAGTACACCTAAATACCATATACTCTCAGAAAAAAAAGGTACAAAAGCTGTCACTAAGGCGGTACACTTTTTAAGGGTTAAAGGTACATATAAGTGCCTAAAGGGTACGTATACCTCAATGGTATGTATTTGTACCTTTTGAAAAAGTGACAGCTTTTGTAGCTTTTTCAAAAGTGAGTGACGAGACATGTGGCCAAGTATGGTTACCCATACTAGGAATTAGTGCTCTGCATTTACCTATCCAAAGTGCACACACACAGCAGTGAACACACACACACCGTGAACACATACCTGGAGCAGTGGGCAGCCATTTATGCTGCGGCGTCTGGGGAGCAGTTGGGGGTTGCTCAAGGGCACCTCAGTCGTGGTATTGAAGGTGGGAGAGAGCGCTGTACATTCACTCCCCCCACCTACAATCCCTGCCAGTACGAGACTCGAACTCGCAACCTTTAGGTTACAAGTCCGACTCTCTAACCATTAGGCATAGTAGTTGTAGTATCATTATGGTGGCTTCTGCATGGGCAAACACCACTTATATTATCAGAAAATGTAGTAAAAAGCAGTTTGGTTTTTCCCATAAGGCCTCTTAAACTAATCATTATTATCAAAAGGCATCAAAATCCCAAAATCTGGCCTAACAGCAAAATGATATCCAGCTGCTCACACTTTGAGGCGAATATAAAATTCTTACCATCAGAATTCTATTGGATTTGGTCTCATTTCTGAAACAGCTCTGTAATGTTCTTCTCTGGCATCGCCAACCAAATCCTCTTCTAATTCCCCAAATGAAATAAGAGCAAAGTGATTTGGCATCATGTGACAGCTGCATGTTACAGCGCGCCGCATGCACAGATGTTTTGAGCGTCTGCAGTCATGATGCACGCAGGTGTCTGGTCCTGTGTTGAAACAATTCAAACCTATTCAGCAGAGAGAGGGACAGAAATTTATTATAGATTTGATCACAATAGTGTCACTCCATTTTACTGTCTTCATGCTTTACCAGAACAAATTATTATTGACATTTCAAAGTGCGCTTTTTCTTAGTTTTTCCCCCCAAAATGAAACTCATCCTTCATATATTAATTATTGACAAAATAACAATAATGATTTTAATACTAAAAAAGGTAACACTTTACTTGAAGCCTTTATATACAGTATAATGCATTATAAAATTTATTATTTTTAATGCATTAATTATGCCTTGTAATGCAGCTTATAATGCATGTGAACTTAAGTTTTTAAGTTGAATGATTTTTATGAAATTTTTTTTTACAGGGCAACATTAGTAAGTATAATGCACTAAAACACATGAACAAACAACTGATTTCCGACATAACAAGGAATCTGCAGACACTATAATGCATTTTAACATTGTTTACAATTATTTATGAAAAGATATAATGCATATACACTATGAATACCTTTAAAATACATAAAAGCTTTGAGGAAAGTGTTACCTTAAATCATTAACATATTGACATTTTACATAATTTCAAACAAGTTCACAATATATAATTATCCCATTAATTACTTTACATTGACAAAAAATAAAATAATTATTATTTTGATTAATTTATTATTATAACATCACTGACACTAAAATACTGTTTGGTAAAAAATATTTAATTAATCTGAATTTAAAGACATTATCAGTTGTTTTATAGACTATATCATTAAAAAATATATAACATTTATTCCATCCCAGCCCATTTTCTACACTGAAAAAAAAGAGAAAAGTTGTAGAAACAAATTTCAAGTTCAAATAACATTGATTTTAAAGGAGACATATTATGCCCCTTTTTACAATATGTAATATAAGTCTCTGGTGTCCCCAGAATGTGTCTGTGACGTTTCAGCTCAAAATACTCCACAGATCATTTATTATATCATTTTGAAAATGCCTATTTTGAGTGGAAGCAGAAACACGCTGTTTTTCGTGCCTGTCTCTTTAAATGCAAATGAGCTGCTGCTCCCCGCCCCCTTTTCCAGAATAGAGCTACGCCATTAGAACTCGCACCTGCTAAAAAACATCTGTTTCGGTTCTGATTATCATGTTTATCGTGCTGAGTTTAAACTTCTGATATACGGTTTTCTGAGAGCACACATCCGAAGCACACGGACAGAAAGCGGCTGTCACAGCATGTAGTACTAAACTAAGTTCTCATTCACACACAAGTTTACGTTAAAAACACACGAGTGTCTGTGCAGCCAAAGACAGAACAGTTAGCGTGTTTTGCTCAAACTTTCAGCATGGCATTAGAACTAGTACACCATTGTCGCCTGTGAAAACATATTAACGGTGCCGTGGGTGTAAACTTACAGATTAGGGGCGGTAATATTATAATGAGATCCCTTTGCCACATCACAAAGAGAGCGAAATCAGACGCGCTGGTTTTCTCAGACGCTTGCAGAAAAAGGCTTAGCAAAGCAAAGTTACTGGGTTAATCTTTTTCACGTTTCCTTGGTTGCTAGATGCACTGGGGACCTCATTATAGCACTTAAAACCAGGAAAAGTCAGATTTTCATGATATGTCGCCTTTAACATAACATTTTGAAGTAGAAAAGCGTATTATGTATTTTCTTAATAAATGCAAAGCGCTAATAACATGATGTTAAGTTATTAGGAACATGATCCATAGTAAATTTTCCAGCACAATTGTAGAATGACCCACTTCTAGTTTAAACACTATACCGCGTCCTCTGACTGGATGTTTATTATAAGCAGTTCAGATCGGGCCAGCGATATTTTGTGTTATCCCCAAATGCGACAGGCTCTGAAAATCCCCACACTGAGTCCATGTTCAGGCTCTATTAAAACCTCACATACAGAATACAGAAAACCGAGTAAAGGAACAGATGCTTGCCTATCACTGGGGTAAAATCCTTCCATATTTTCAGTTATGATAAACAGAAACGGCATCATGAATATTGCAGGCTAGCAACTTCTTTCAAAGCTTCTTGAAAGACATGACGTAGACCTAGATAAAAACAAAGTCCTCATTTACTGTGTAGTTTGATCTCAACTTTAACTTACTTCTGTGATGTTTCAGAGGGTCATCGGTAACTCTCGTCACAGGCACAGTCATTCTGAAATACAATAAATTATATCTGACATCTCCAGATTTACAATTTATGCTTAAAACATGTAGAAATTTCAACTCAGAGGTCAATAGTGATAAGCAGGGTTAGACAAAATGTGCTGAATTGCAAATAATTTTTAAACTGAAAATAATATATACACGCCCCATGTTTATAACATATTTGAGTAAGTTGAACAGAAAAATGCTATAGAGTATGTACTGAAAAGGCGTATTAAAACTAAATGTTTAAAAAAATCCATTCCATTTTAATTCTACTTCCTTCGGTCAAAGTTCTCATTACTATTATGCATGATTTTTGCTATCTTAATTCAGTTTCAGAAATGTAACTGTAATATTTAAGGCATTTTTGATTCAACTCAACCTTGAACTGCTGCTCATTTCCTTAACTTGTTCACTTTGTTTAGCTTGTTCATCATGTGCACAATTTTGACAAACTGCAGCTTCATGGCCATGTCGGATCCTCCGCTGTGGACCAAATACCTTGAGTGAGCAATACCATTATTCTGTTTTTAAATGTTTATGCATATTTAAAAACTGAACAGAAAAATGCTATAGAGTATGTACTGAAAAGGCGTATTAAGACTAAATGTTTAAAAAAATCCATTCCATTTTAATTCTACTTCCTTCGGTCAAAGTTCTCATTACTATTATGCATGATTTTTGCTATCTTAATTCAGTTTCAGAAATGTAACTAATATTTAAGGCATTTTTGATTCAACTCAACCTTAAACTGCTGCTCATTTCCTTAACTTGTTCACTTTGTTTAGCTTGTTCATCATGTGCACAATTTTGACAAACTGCAGCTTCATGGCCATGTCGGATCCTCCGCTGTGGACCAAATACCTTGAGTGAGCAATACCATTATTCTGTTTTTAAATGTTTATGCATATTTAAAAATACAGTGTACATTATGTATTTTACTACTGCTACTATCGCATCATTTTGGTGATCTCTAGAAGATGTCTTTTAAGATATTTTTATTTGTTCACTGTTTGAAACTAAAAACAGGGGCATATTTAATTTAAAGATTTTGCACACATGCTCTTTTTTCTAAATTAAACTTGTCACTCATACCATAATCACTGAAAAATACAGATATTTAAATACTTTGTTTATTAATAATATTGCCATTTTTCAAACAAGGTCACAAAAAATTGCAGGTAAAAAAAGAAAAAAGATTTATCAACCTGTTTGTGTTGACAAAAAATTAAATGCATTTAAAAAAATAAATAAATAATAAAATAAATATATATATATATATATATATATATATATATATATACATCACAAACACTAAAAATGTTAAATCATAATTTTGGTGATCTCTAGATGTCTGTATATATTCTTATTTGTTCCTCATTTTAAACTCTAATAACAGACACATATTTAATTGAAAGAATTTGCACTCATGCTCTTTTTAATTTTTAATTTTTAAATGAAACTCATCAGCCATACCTTAATTATTAATTAATACAATGACATTTTACCTTATTTCAAACAAGAAAAATTGTAATGTTTTAAAAAAAAATTATTTACCACTAGCCTGTTTGTATTGTCAAAACAACAATAAATAAAATAAATTAATAATACAATAATAATTATTTAGTATTTTTACCATAACATAAGAGTAACTGACACAAAAAAATACAGTTTTGTAGAAAATATTTAATTAATCATCATTTTGGTGATCTCTAGAATATGTCTGTGTAGATATTGATATTTGTTCACCATTTTAAACTCTAAAAATATAAAAAAATTCCACAAAATGATGCATTTCTGAGTGAAATAGTATCTACTGAGAAATAAGGGTGCATTTATTCTGATTTATTGTTTACTTTAATGCACAAGAACATACTGTAACGTTAGCATTCATAAGTGCTTCAGAATGTGTACTGAAATGCTAAAAAGAGTTTTCATCTTAATTTAATGCTTTGCTAAGGTCCTGATGACCGCATTGGTAAGAGTCACATCTTCCCCATTCTGCCTGCAGCATCAGGAATGCCACATTCCCATGATGTCACTTCCTGTTATGTTTTGAAGAGCTAGAGCATTACAGCTCATTCACATGGGAGCGTGACAGTGTTACATTTAAGCTAAAGCTGCATAGTGCAGGTTTCCGGTGTCTAAGCCGTGGCATAGATTTGAACAGATGACCACAATTTCCATATTCACTTATTATACCTTTAGATGCCCTAATACAAAGCCACGATGAACCATATACATCCTCAAACACATCATACAAACATCATATGCATGCATGATATAGATTTCTAACAGATTGAATCTGAGCATGCAGCATGTTGTTAACGATCCACCGCTTGCATCAAAATAATCATTGAGTGAATTTTATGCATGTTACACAACAAGTCCACAGCTAGCTACACAACCCAGTGTAAATAGTCGATGTTTGCTTTTGTATTCGTGCAGGTATACATTCACTGGCATTTACACGTTTGAGTCTCTAATAAAGATCTTGGCCAGAGGGTTTTGCATAGAGCCCTTCACCTTCCTCCGAGACCCATGGAACTGGCTGGATTTCAGCGTCATCGTCATGGCGTGAGTTTGGCATTTGCTTTTATTAACTCCATAAAGCCTACTGTATCATATTTGATAGCAACTTTCTGAAAACTTGGAATGATTGTACACAATGTTGTATACAATCTACTACATGGCTTCTGTCCTCTGATTGATTGTTTATGCTCTTTTAGCAAGTAAAAGGCCTTTTAGTATCATTCTAAAAATGTCCACCTAAACATGTCTTTGCTGAGATATTTTAAAATATAAAAAAAAAAATTGTATAAAGTAAATGCAAGAATAACTTTTATATTGTTAGTAATATTTCAAGACAAACGCTTACTGGACTGAAGCAACTTAGGTTTACTTGATTATCCAGACATCATGTTTTTAGAAAAATCATGCTAAAATGTGAGTATCAAATATGATCATCAGGCTTTGAGGATTGTTTATTTGATCATCTCTCAGTCACCATTGTATTGCATTGCATTGTATGTTTTGATCATAAAACTAAGCATATACATATCTTATTAAGACATTGTTGGGAGATACAGAGTGACAACTGATATTTATATGCATTTATATAAGTATCTGCTATACTGTTATAAAGATCTCAGTTATTTAAATTACAAGCCATCAGAACTTACTTTTTGGCCATATACGTATATATCCGAATCTGCACCAAATTGTATAATTTTGCTCAGTTTGGGCCTCTGAATAAAACGGAGGTGTTTTTTCCTCCTTGAACTCAATATTATAACTATATCTTATAGAATGAGCCATAAAAAGCCTGATGTATCAAATATGATACTCAAAAAAAATATATATATAAAAAATTTTGTCTAGAGGTTTAATTCACTGTTCCATTTTTTTAAAATACATTTTTCCAACTATTATTTTATATGTCAGGCTTTACATGGTTAATTGTCTCATCCTGGATAAGGACTTAAAGTACTGAGTGTTCTGAAACAATGTTCACAAATATGAAAATTGTGTCATAATTTACTCACCCTCATATCAGTCCAATCCTGTATGACTTTCTTTCTTCCCTGGAACATAAAAGAAGAAATTTAGCTTATTGTTAATACTGCATTTTTAAATCTAAATAGTGGACAGTGACTTGTCCTACCATGTTTCATAAATGACAAAACACCACCAGAAAGGATCATGATAATAGTTCATGTGGCTTATTTGTTGTATTTCATGTCTTCTGAAGTAATATGATTACTTTGTGTAAACAGCAGACTGGAATTTAAGTTGTCATTCACTGAAATGTTTGATCTTAATGGATCTTGTGCATATTGAAATTTGCTGCATGTGAATATATTTTACTGGAAATATGAACTAGGGTTTAGAAACAAAAACGGGCTGTTCTTTAAGTAGATATCAGCAGATCATATTCCCATGAGACACAGTTATTCATGGAGCTGTCCATGGTGCTGAACACCAAACCAATGAGACCCAAGACTGCTGTTGAGTGTGAATCTAAAGAGAGAGGAGCCAAGAAAGATGTAAATCAAGGGATGCAGGTATCCAGATCGGGATTTGCCAGGTGACCTAAATATCCAGCATTACAGCTCCATCAAAGCAGAGGAGTGGATTAACTGAAAGAGAGAGACCGACTACTGCAGGACGAACATTTCCCCATTAACAAACTGCTGTTTTCAAACTGTTTTCAAAGTTTAGAGGGTTTATCTCCTCTCATGCTTTGAAAGAAACCTTGACATTTGTGGCTCTTACAAAAAGAAATAAATTACCTTTATATGATTATGTATATACTAAGTATTATTTATGACATTGTCACAGTGAGAACAATATGTTGGTGCATGACTGACACCAAAATATCAACTCTGTTTGTTATTAATTTAGCAAAATGGTCAAAGCTCATAAAGCCCAGCTGATTAGATTATTGTGGTGCCTCTTTGTGTAAAATCACGAGGGGATGGAGCAGATTTCAAATCCGTTAACTAGTGAAATACTGTGGTGAGATGGAGGCGGCATATAAAGATTTTTGAGGAATCTTCCGGTTTCTGTACAAGTTATGCTGTATGTACAGCTTGTGTGAAATGCGATTACCACAGGGAATAACTTGAACAAAAAGCAGTTAAAGTAGAAGTTTATGGGGTAATGCAGTGAGGAAAAACAATAAATTACATAGTTTAAAAAATATAGCCACAAGACAACCATTACATATGTTAACATGAAGCTAGTGTGATAAATTAATTGCTTACCCTGTCTGTGTAAAGTTATATCCTGTCATGACTATGTAAAGAAGGTACTTACATTAACTTACACATAATATGCATAAATATATACAAATATATTTTTGTCCACAGGAGCAAGGTGATTTACACAAAACTAGACTGGTGTTTTAGTATTATTAATATATTATAACATACATACATACATTATAATAATATACATTATAGTTTTTATTTATATTTAGCTTTTATTTTTATATTTTAATTTTGGTTTTATTTATTAGTAATTTTGTTATGTGCATATGTATCAGTTTTTGTTCTTTAAATATTTCTATTTATTTTTTATTTCAGTTCCTGAATGTTTCAACTTAACATTTCAGTTAATTGGTCAGGCAACATTTCTAATATTCTTTTAGTTAAATTCTTTCATCTAATATTTATTTTATTGTTTTTTTATAGCTTTTTTCAATTAATAGAAATAATGTTTTTAATAGACAAAAGTTTGCCATGTGTATAAGTGTGTACTTCATTTCCGAGGCGTGAGTCAAAATGATCATGATTTTGCATGAACATAAATCAGTGCACACACTTTTTGCCCTGTTTTAAAGAGCTGAGCTCTCTTGGAGAATGACTGCTGTTTTTCCCCCCCAGGTATGTGACAGAGTTTGTGGACCTCGGCAACGTATCAGCATTACGGACGTTCAGAGTTCTGCGTGCTCTAAAAACTATATCAGTGATCCCAGGTGAGGTTCAGTCCCGCTATCCACTTTACTTTCATACAGGCACTGGATAAGCCAATTAACTTATTTATTTGAATGTAATATTTGTTGTTTTTTTATTTCTTCAGGTTTAAAGACCATTGTCAGTGCTCTCATCCAGTCGGTTAAAAAGCTAGCGGACGTGATGATCCTCACTGTTTTCTGTCTCAGTGTCTTCGCTCTGATTGGTCTACAGCTCTTTATGGGAATCCTACGACAGAAGTGTGTCCGTAGCCCCGCCCACTGCATTAACTCCACCTACCCTGGCAACGGGAGCTTCGTTTGTAACAACAAGACCTGGCTCTCCATCAAGGACTTCTTAACTAATGAAGGTTCAGATGATTTTTATTGGGCATAATGCTACATATGCACGGCAATCATTAATTCTACTGTCAATTTAAAAAGTTGCAATGCTCACTAAATCAAATCAGTGTGCTGAACTATGTACTGAATCACATTCAATCCTTCTGAATTTACAAAACTTTTGCATTGAACTGAAAACCAATGAATCGTGAATCGCATCAATTTGCTGTCACACCCCTGCATTATAGGTTGATATTTAATGTTGAACAAGGTTGAGTGATAGGCACTGAAAACAAATCAATGAAACTCGCCAAGATAACGTTTGTCAGTCAGTATTAGATCAACATGGTACTGCTAAGCTTAGTGGAATCACTAGAGACGTTTAAAGTACTAATGAACTCTGTAATCAAACTAAACAGACATTCAAAGCAGTGTTATTTTAGTATACACTATCATAGGTTTTGTAAATATTTGTAATTACATTTTATTTTTTATATTTCTGTTTTCATTGTAATTTTAGTTAATGTTTTAGCAATTTTGTTGTGTTTTTGTCATTATTATTATTATTAGGTTTTGTTTTTTATATATTCCTTTATTTTTATTAAAGTTGAGTTTTTAGTTATTTTAGTTTACTTCAATTTAAATTAAACAAAAATGAGAAATGTTGCATTGGCCACTAGCAGAAATAAAATAAGTTAATAAAGTAACAATAATAATAATATTGATTAATTATAATGAATAATAAATATAAATCATGAAAAGGAAAACATTTTTTATATTTTATTTTATTTTTAGTTGATGTTTATTTCAAGTAATTAAATTTTATTTAGGGTTTTAGTTTATTTATTTACGTTTATTTAACCAGGAAGACTCATTGAGATTTAAAATCTCTTTTACAAGAGAGACCTGGCCAAGGTAGCAGCCATACAGTAAGACAATTGTAAAATACAACTTATAATATAACATATTATATACAACAATATTTAAACATATCCTCTCAACAAAAACAATCACAAGCTTCCAATACCACTCTCTTTATGATGAGTTAACAATAATAACCATGAATCAAGGTTTCAGTGATTCACAACTCTCAGTCTGACGTGTCTTGCGAAAGTAATTGAGTTTTATTTTTTTATTGTTCCCTTAGACAATTTCTACAAAATTGAAGGATCCAAGGATGCCTTAATATGCGGATACAGCAGCGATGCTGGGTAAGTCATCTCACTAATTACATTGAGATAAATCCAACAAGGTTTTAGAGTGTGAATTAGTGAATATAAAATGTATAATTAATAATTTCTGTACAAGGTGACCACGTAGATCTATCTGCTTGCTTCAGCTCGGCCTCATAGATAATCACTCGGTATCAGTGTACCATGAGCTCATCAAGCCCATTGTCATTAATCTGAAATGAAACACAGCCATAGTGCTGCTATAATTTCCATAAATCCTAAAAGGGATGAATGGTTTATCTGAGAACCCACAGCGTCATCTCTGCGTGTGAGGACACAGAGCGGTCAGCATGGTGACATGTGGCATATAATCGGAGGTCTGTAATAGTTAACCACAATCTCTCATGATATGACAAAATGAGCAGCTGTCATTAGGAGAGCAAGCTTTAAAGCCCTATAATAATGTTAGGAAAAGTTTTGCTAAATAAATAAAATAAAATAAAAATACGGCTTTTCATACAGGTTTCCCAAAGAAGAGTTATTTAACTAAAACTAAAACTATAAAAAATGTCATTACTTGAAACAAAATAAAATATAATAAGATCAAATAAATAAATAGAATATAAAAATATAAAATAAAATAAAAAGATTTTTTTTCATCAATTTACATTTTAATTTAGTTTAATCTGAAGTACTAAAATAACTAACACTAAAACTATATATACATTAAAAAATTATATACATTAATTATATAATTATATATATTATATACACTACAAAATTACCAAAACTTTAACTACAAATGAAAACAGAAAATACTAAAATAAAATCTAACTTAAAATATTGACAAAAGCAATAATATATTAGTGACACTAAAATAATACACCCCTGATGATCAAATAAATAAATGACAGCATTTATACTAATTAACCTAGTTGTCTCTATACGTTGCAAACAAAAATGCGTCAATGCTTTTAAGCAACCTCAATAAAATAATCATATTTTACATTATGTTGCTAGATGATTTACCCAAAATGCACTATTAATCTGAGCCCACTGTGTTAGTCCTCTCATACAGAGCTCAGACCAATCCTCATGTGACACCTAAATGGTAACCAGTCCCATGCAGTCTAGTAACCACTAACCTTAACTAACCTCTAAGCTATTAAACCTGCAGTGATTCTCCTATGGGAAAGAGGCAGGAGATTATGATGCACCCTCCTAAACATCTCCGAGTGCATTGATGATTACTGTGATTCTATTGCGCGTGGGACATGACATGAACCATTCCTCAAATCAGATGTCTTGTTGAGCAGAGGTGTGCTATTACTTTACTAATGTCACGGTCGGTGGTAGTGTGAGGAACGCGGAACGAGGAGACCAGGAGTATGACACAAAGGGATTTATTCTTCTCACAGGGTAGCACACGTACCACGAGGAGAAGACATCAACATACAATTCCAGACAAGGGAGAACTGAACGGGTTACTAAATAGGGTAGATAACGAGGGGCTGACAGATGATGGGGATAACTAATAACAAGGAACAGGTGATACTAATAAAGTGAAAAGGAACTGGAAGGACTAAATAAGGAAAACAGCAACTCAACGGGAACATACACGTGACGACTAAGTGATTGGACTCTGCATAAACAATCTCACGCCAATAATCAGCTGAATTAAGAGTGAAAGTCCTTCATTGTTGGTCTCACTAACTGTCTCTGCAGTGCACAGAGACATAATCCTGCAAATCCCAGCAACACTGTTCAGACCGGAGCCACAGGATGATGTTTGTGGTGCCAGGGCTAGTTCAAGGATTTGATTGTGCTAAATACCCATCTGTGTTAATGTGAAATATTACACTGTTAGGGGTATTAGTGATTATGAGGAACAGAAACAAAAATAAACAGAACAATTGAGAGAAGAATTTTATAAACTGCAAGATGCAATTTCTTTGCATTTAACTTGAGAATTTAACTAATTTACTGGCTGAATTAAAAGTCAAACTACTGAATAACTTTTAGACAAAATGCACAAAATGCAAGCTTTCTTTACTTAGCATAGAGTTTTGCAATTACTCGAGATTATTCAAAGTTTCACCCGCCTTAATAACTACAAACCTCATCCTATGAGCCTGTAGGTCATATCAACCTCACCCAGTAAGAAGAAACAATGATCTGTGTGTCTGTCTGTGGGTTTAACACTTTCAGTTCCCATCAGTGCTCTCCTCGGCTCACGGCACACATCCCACAGAGGATTTCCCCTCTACATTCACATCTGATCCCTCCTAAGCCCTTTTGTAGGTTTGTTAATGGCTGTTTTTACGATAACAGAACATTGGGGATTTGCACTGCTCTTTTCTCTCTCTCTCTTTCTGTATGAGAAACAGAGAATGACATGTAATGAGATACAGACAGAAAACACCCTATATAACACATTAGATGCGCTAAAATCAGACCAATTAATTACTCTTAGAATGGAGTTAAAGTAATAATGTGCAAAGACAGCTTATTTGTATGGCTTAAAGGAGACATATTATGCCCTTTTTTACAATATGTAATATGAGTCTCTGGTGTCCCCAGAATGTGTCTGTGAAGTTTCAGCTCAAAATACTCCACAGATCATTTATTATATCATTTTGAAAATGCCTATTTTGAGTGGAAGCAGAAACACGCTGTTTTTCGGGCCTGTCTCTTTAAATGCAAATGAGCTGTTGTTCCCCGCCCCCTTTTCCAGAATAGAGCTACGCCATTAGAACTCGCACCTGCTAAAAACATCTGTTTTGGTTCTGATTATCATGTTTATCGCGCTGAAATCATGCGTTTTAAACCATATGAATTTAAACTTCTGATATACGGTTTTCTGAGAGCACACATCCGAAGCACACGGACAGAAAGCGGCTGTCACAGCATGTGTTTTTATATTTTTTTCACAATATTACTGTTTTTTTTTACCATATTTCTGATCAAATAAATGCAGTTTTGGTGAGCATAAAAGCCTTGTTTCAAAAACATGGAAAAGTCAACTGACCCAAACTTTTAACCAGTAGCGCATAAAAATATTTCACATATAAAATTGTCATCAGTTCTCCTTTTAAGAGAATTTGAGGAGGATCATCTGAAATGACGTTCTAGATTTATGACAGGTTTTATTGCTACAGTCTCTGAGCGTGGTATTGTACTGGACTGTATTATATAAACCTGTGTGTGTTTGAACACATTGTTAGGGAGATCATGGTTGCACGGCCTCTCTCTCTTTCTACCTTTGGGTGAGAGATTTACAGATGGCCTCATTTTGCAGCTCTGATGTCCAGCTGTTGGCAGTTCCATTATGAAATGATCCCTCTGTCAGATTGACATGCATCTGTCTTCTGCTTGGCCTGTCACTCAAACTTAATGTCACCATAGTAATGCAGAGAAAGAGAGGATGGACTGAGGATGGGAGGAAAAAAATGAACTGCAACTCGATACCCATCTGTTTACTTATAATCTTCCTTTTGGGCCTCAATGCATGTGACTATGTGTGCTGTCTTACTGGAACTGAGATGGTTTTCTCTATATTTGAATATGCTATAAATACACTGCTCAAAAAACTTAATGGAACACTTTTTAATCAGAGTATAGCATCAATAGCACTTAGAGTATAGCACTTAGAGTAAGTCAATTAAACTCCTGGGATATTGATCTGGTCAGTTAAGTAGCAGAGGGGGTTGTTAATCAGTTTCAGCTGCTTTGGTGTAAATTAAATTTACAACAGGTGCACTAGATGGGCAACAATAGCCAGGTTTCCATCCAAAGTTGCGAATTTAACTTATGCGCAAAATTGGAATATCGTATAAAACAGTTGCGAACAAGCATAGTTTCCATTCAACAAGTCAAAGAGAACAAAATCATCACTTCCTGATAAACTGGCACTATAAATCACTAAGGAAAGTTGGAGAATATAATAATTTTCATATATAATAAATTACTTGCGCCTCAGAGCGAGCAGACGTAATACAATAAATGCGGTCATTGCTGTCGGAGGTAGATGCTGCTGTTTGGGAACGCAGTCGTGTAAGACATTTCTGGGAGGCAATAATACAGAAATACTTTGATGACAGACTTTGCTCGTGCATTTCCGAATGACCATAACATTTCAGATGCTGTGGAATGAGAGCAGTTCGCTGGTTAGTCAGGTTTTGCCGTCCCATAATGCAAAGTCACGTGACTTTTTTGATGCGCTTGGAGGAATTTATTCGCAAAATGCATTTCCATCTCCCATTATTCGCATCAACCCTTTTTCGCACAAGTCAAAAACCTCCTCAAGCGAGCGTAAAAACTTTTTTGCGAATTAAGGGATTTTTGAATTTCAAAATTTGGCATTTCCATCACTCGTTTCTCATGCGATACTTCAAAATGCGCATTAAAATAGGGTGATGGAAACTTAGCAAATGAGACGACCACCAAAACAGGATTACAGGTGGAGGCCACTGACATTTTTTTCCCTACTCATCTTTTCTGACTGTTTTTCACTAGTTTTGAATTTGGCTTGGGTCAGTGTCACTACTGGTAGCATGAGGCGATACCTGGACCCTACAGAGGTTGCACAGGCAGTCCAACTGCTCCAGGATGGCACATCTATACGTGCCATTGCCAGAAGGTTTGCTGTGTCTCCCAGCACAGTCTCAAGAGCAAGGAGGAGATTCCAAGAGACAGGCAGTTATTTTAAGAGAGCTGGACAGGGCCGTAGAAGGTCTTTAACTCATCAGCAGGACCAGTATCTGCTCCTTTGTGCAAGGAGGAACAGGATGAGCCTACAAAATGACCTCCAGCAGGCCAGTGGTGTGAATGTCTCTGACCAAACAATCAGAAACAGACTTCATGAGGGTGGCCTGAGGCCCGACGTCCTCTAGTGGGCCCTGTGCTCACTGCCCGGCACCGTGGAGCTGGATTGGCATTCGCCATTGAACACCAGAATTGGTGGGTCCGCCACTGGAGTCCTGTGCTTTTCACAGATGAGAGCAGGTTCACCCTGAGCACATGTGACAGACGTGAAAGGGTCTGGAGAAGACGTGGAGAACGTTATGCTGCCTGCGACATCGTTCAGCAGGACCGGTTTGGTGGTGGGTCAGTGATGGTCTGGGGAGGCATATCCATGGAGGGACGTACATAACTTTACAGGCTAGACAATGGCACCCTGACTGTCATTAGGTATCGGGATTAAATCCTTGGACCCATTGTCAGACCCTACACTGGTGCAGTGGGTCCTGGGTTCCTCCTGGTGCACGACAATCTCCGGCCTCATGTGGCGAGAGTATGCAGGATGAAGGAATTGATACCATTAAATGGCCCCCATGCTCGCCTGACCTAAATCCAGTAGAACACCTCTGGGACATTATCTTGCACCTCAGACTGTCCAGGAGCTCAGTGATGCCCTGGTCCACCATCCGTCGTCTCATTAGGAGCATGCCTCAACGTTGTCAGGCATGCATACAAGCACATGGGGGCCATACACACTACTGAGTACCATTTTGAGTTACTGCAATGAAATTTCAGCAAAATGGACTAGCCTGCTTCATCATTTTTTCCCTTTTTTTTCAGGGTGTCTTTGAATTCAGCCCTCTGTAGGTTGATCATTTTCATTTCCATCAAACGATGTGGCATCCTTTCGTTCCTAACACATCACGCAGTCCATATCAGTATAGATATCCAGCATGAGATTTATATATCATGAAAAAGAACATGCATCACGGTTTCCACAAAATTATGAAGCAGCACAACTGTTTTCAACATTGATAATAACAAGAAATGTTTCTTAAGGAGCAAATCAGCAAATGATTTCAGCAATGATTTCTGAAAGATCATGTGACACTGAAGACTGGAGTAATGATGCTGAAAATTAAGCTTTGCATCACAGGAATAAATTACATTTTAAAATATATTAGAACAGAAAATAGTTATTTTAAACTGAAATAATATTTCACAATTTATTTTTGATCAAATAAATATAGACTTGGTGAGTATAAAATACTTTTAAAAACATAAAATCTTACTGATCCCAAACTTTTGAACAGTAGTGCATATTACTTAAAATTGTCTTTAAAATATTTATACATCATGGCAGTATTTGTTTTACTGCCATTAAACTATGTCAATTCAAGTAAGAAAAAAACATTTCTATTTTCATATGTAATACAGGGAAAACAATTATATATTAATGAGAAGTTTTTGACTAAAGTCACACTGAAAACAATATTAAAGGGGCTAAAAATATGTTTTCTAGAAGTATGATATTTATTTGAGGGGGGGGGGGTTAAGTCTGATCATATTTTTGTTACATTCTCCAATGTTTTTATGCTATATTCTTTATTGAATCACATTGCCATTCCCACTGTTAAGTATCTTCGTGTTTCCTCCATAAACAGGAAGTGCCCTGATGGGTTTGACTGTTTAAAAACAGGTCGGAACCCAAACTACGGCTACACAAGCTTTGACACCTTCGGCTGGGCTTTCCTGGCTCTCTTCAGACTAATGACACAAGACTACTGGGAAAACCTCTACCATCAGGTACCAGCCGTGACACTGAAGGAATAACCATCTGTTATCTAAATATTATTACAAACGTCTTTTCTTCCTCTCCATGCCAGACTTTACGGTCAGCAGGGAAGACCTACATGATTTTCTTTGTGCTGGTGATATTTCTGGGTTCGTTCTACCTGGTGAACTTGATCCTGGCTGTCGTGGCCATGGCATATGAGGAGCAAAACCAAGCGACCATCGCAGAGGCCTGGGCAAAAGAAAGAGAGTTTCAGCTGGCAATGGAACAGCTGCGCAAGGAACAAAGTGTAATTCGACAACTACTTTATAACTAGCTGTCTGAAATAAACAAGGTTCATTAGCTGAACCTCAACTTCTTGTAGTACTAGATACATTTTTCCTTTCCTTTTACGGCACTCTATTCTTAGTGGATAAAATCATTTCATGTTGATTTTAAAAGCAACTTAAAATACTGAAATGATGCTCCTACATAAAATGTGTTGCGTTACACTGCAAAAATTATAAATATTATGAGAATATACAATTATTATTCTCATTGCGTTTAATTTCAAGTGTAAATTAAGCTCAAGCACATCTGATTTTTCTGTTCTCGTTGGTATTAGGCATTAGCAAAACAGCGCAGAAATGAGGCTGAGATGGCCCTGGCTGCAGATTTATCTCCGTCACCTTTCTCACGGAAAGACTCGGTGAAATGCCAAAGATCCCACCAAATGCTTTCAGAGGAGCTGGAGGACAACTTTTTGCCAAAATTGGACCCATTTGATGAAAAAGTAAGTACTATTTCATAAATGTTTTATTTATATTTGGCTTTAATGTATACTCAGTCCTTTTTCCAGATTAAAAAAAGAGCAGTTGTCTCTAAAACATTTATTAGGAAAAATTACCAAGTGTACCTTAAAATCAAAATAGATAAAATGATTTTAAAAGCTTATTGTCAAAAAAAGTTTTTTTCTAAAACCTAATATAAATGGTAATATAAAATATATCAGATTTTCTATAAAAAGTTAAAAATTGCTGCTTCTGTCTTCAATATTTTAGTGTCATTGATATACTATAATAGTTTTCGTTAATATTTTAAATTGTCTTCACTTTAATTTTAAAGTTTTCGCAATTTTGCTGTTTTTGTCATTTTTATATAGTACTTATTCATTTTATAAATCTATATAGTATTTTTTTGTTCATCATTTATTTATTTTAATACTTCAGCTCAAACTAAATGAAAATGAGAATTTTTCTCGTCAACTAGCTGAAATAAATGTTACATTTTTATATATTTTATTTGTTATAAAGTTAAGTTTAGTTTAGTTAACGATAATAACCCTCTTGTTAAATGAATGTCTGCTTATCATCTACTCCCTAATCTCTCTTTCAAACTCCTGTCCTCCAGCCAGCTCACCCTCTCCTAGCCACTCTCTCCTCCCATCCTCTGAGCACCCGTCGAGGAAGCCAGCTCAGTATCTTTGCCTTCCGGCCACGCAACAGTTCAGACGCTGACTTTGCAGATGACGAACACAGCATCCACGGTGATGGGCGGAGCCGAGCGGGTTCCATGGCGATGCCGTGGAACAAGCGTCGTACGAGCAGCATCAGGAGTCACTCGTCGCAGGTGTTCCCGCCCACCCTCACCCTTAACGGCAGACTTAACATTTCCCTGGACCAGAACGGCATCACCAGCATTGGCCCGCACACCCCGACCTCTGTTCCAGTATTCAGCATGGAGAAGGTCAGGGAGGACACGGTATGGTCTTATCTCATTACAACGTTTTTCCATGAAAAATGGAATTCATGTCATTTACTCACCGTCATGTTCCTGGAATACTATATGTTTGTTCTCCAAAGAACACAAAAAGTAGTTATACTTTTGAAAAGTCTTAAAAAGTCTTTAGCCATTTTCAAAAAACATCTAAAGACACATCTTTTTCGCCATCACCCCCTGACCAATTAATACTAGCACTTACATTATATTCTATTCTATTCGTTTTGGTCTAATTTATATTAAAAAAAACTCCTTGCTATGTGCACTGTGCTAGACTAACTGAGACTTGTCATTGCACTTCTGTATTGTTGCTCTCTCGTTGGTCTGATTGCTTCTACTTGCTTCTATTCAAATCGCTTTGGATAAAAGCGTCTGCTAAATGATTAAATGTAAATGTAAATGTGAATGTATTAAGGAGAATGTCCAGGCAAATCTATCAACTTCCATTTTATGGAAAAGAGTTGAGGATGGCTACTGGATGGATAAAGTGAGAAAAATGTTGATTAATAATAATAATTTGATAATGAAGCATTTCAATGAAAAAGTTTCAATCTAATTAAAACTATTTTAATCGTAAAAAGCCTGCTGTATTATATGCACATTTCTAAGGCCTCTATAACTTTGCTGAGAAACCTGTTGTACGCAATCTACTACATGCCTTCTAATTGATAGTTCATACTTTTTTAGATTTAGTGTGTGTGTGTGTGTGTGTGTGTGTGTGTGTGTGTGTGTGTGTGTGCGCGCACACACACACACACACACTTTGGATGGGTAAATGCAGAGCACTAATTCTGAGTATGGGTCACCATACTTGGCCACATGTCACGTCACTCACTTTTTCACTTTAATCTAAAGATTCAATAATCTTCAAAAAAATTAGATTTTTCTGACTATTATTTCACATATCAGGGTTAACCAATAGAGTGTAAGCTTGTTAAAGTATCGTGTCATTAGTAGCAGCTTTTGAGGAACGTTTCAAATCGGTCACTTTAGTTTGAACACAGCTTTAGAAGGAAGTTACTTACATAGGTGTTCACTAAGAAAAGATTCACTTGGAAAAGATTTGACGTTTTGATGTTCACTTTGATTGACAGGAGCCAGTGTGTCAGAATGAGCAGACCACTCCAGCTGCCATGCTGACTGTCGACGTGCAGGAGGAAGTCCCGCCCCCGCGCAGGAAGAGAGGACTGAGCTCTGTCAGCTTCTTCAGTGACGTCATAGACGGTGTGATGGACTAAAATTGTTTAGAAAAAATAAAAAGACACAAATGAGACAACTGTTGACATGCTGTAAGAGTACAGAACTATAAAATCAACATTGAATCTCAGAAGAATTTGATGAGAAATGATTGCGTTCACACTGAGAATTCTCACTTTTGATTGCTGACATTTGTTCCTTGACAAATCTGAGCACAGTTCGAGACTGTTGAGCTCTCTTCTGAAACTTTTTCACATGAGACAAATAAGGAGAAGCAAAAGTTTCTGATTGTTCTCCATTTAACCTCACGGTTGTCAAGAAGAAATCATTTAGCTACTAAAAGATGATTCAAATTTAAAATCATTTCATCTAAAACACCCGAAGTATCAAACATCAGCTCACCTTAATGTCCAGGTTTCTTCTCGGTTACTCATTTAATGATTTTCATTTCTCCTCTTAGAACTTGAAGAGGCCCATCAGAAATGTCCTCCATGCTGGTATGAATTTGCAAAGAAGTACCTGATTTGGACATGCTCTCCAGCCTGGCTGAGAGTGAAGGAAGGGCTTAAAGTCATGGTGATGGACCCTTTCCTGGACCTTGCAATCACCATTTGCATTGTTCTCAACACATTGTTCATGGCGCTAGAGCACTATCCCATGACTGATGAATTCAACAGCATGCTGAGTGTTGGAAACCTGGTGAGGACAAACAGTGGCGCTCTCCAAAACTGTGTTTGATCATCTCAAACAGCCCTGTTTCTTTGCTTCTTTAATATTAACGTAAAGTTTTGTTCTTGCTTACCAGGTGTTCACTGGAATCTTCACGGCAGAGATGGTGCTGAAGATCTTTGCTCTGGATCCATACTATTACTTTCAGCAAGGCTGGAGCATCTTTGATGGAATTATTGTTTGTTTGAGTCTGATGGAGTTGGGCCTTTCCAACGTGGAGGGTCTATCTGTCCTCCGCTCGTTCAGACTGGTAAGTTTGGTTGGAAATAGACATAGTAAATTCACTAGAATGGACACTGAGGATTGCCAGGATGTGCAATATATGAGAAATGCCATATAGAGACATGAATGTCTTTGAGTGAGTCATTGAATCAGAGTTTTGAACCAGTTAACTGAAGCTTAACTTAGCAGTTCAAGTATCTGAACTGAAATGAGCGCCATTTTTGTTAAAATGCACTCACGTATTCACAAATCCCAAGACAAGGATTGTAAAACTAAATGTCATTATGGCCAACAACAAAAAAAATGCATTAATAACAATATTCAAAATAGTTCATTTTGGCAGCAAAAATTATTAGTGTGTATCATTCAGAGAGGACCGTTTTGAAATTTAAAAAAAAAAGTAGATTTAAACAATTCAGTATTGCATTATCCCCCAAAAAAGGACATAAACACACTCAATGATATTGAAACTGACCTCTTAAACTGACATCAGTGTTTGTATCTGTAGTATGTAATTAGCAGGCATTAGTATAGACACTCCATCAAAGTTTTAAATATCAACACATCAGTATTTATGTGATGTAAAATGCAGTTTGCATGACAAACGCGGCACGCACAGTCCATCTGACCCCTTTGAACTCGAGTGTCTTGCTATTCATTATCAGATTAAAGCTGCACAGAGCTTTTAACATCCTTTTATATTGCGATAAATACTGTTGTTAAGTAGCACTGTGCGTGTACGTTAAAAATGACTTTTTTCATAGCTTCACCCACATGTGCATATTTGGCCGAGCAGTAATCCTTTATCCATTAGTGAGATTAAATATGTTGGAGTTGACATCTCAAAAAGTGGGCTACACTTTCTTTTAGTTCAATATCAGTCACTGAATACAGGCCATGCTTTAGCTAAAATAAAATGAGAATTTACATGAGAAACAGTGACATCAGCTGAAAACAAAGAATAGTTTTGGTGTCAAATTACATGACTGATCAAAAATGTACTCGCCCTCAGGCCATCCAAGATGTATGCATGTTTGTTTCTTCATCTGAACAGATTTGGAGAAATTTAGCATTACGTTACTCGCTCACCAATGGATCCTCTGAGGTGAATGGGTGCCGTCAAAATGAGAGTACAAACAGCTCATAAAAACATCACAATAATCCACAAGTAATCCAAAAAAACTTGTGTCCACCAGTCAACATTTTGTGAGGTGAAAAGCTGTTTGTAAGAAACAAATCCATCATTAATATGCTTTTAACTTTAAACTGTTTCTTCCGGCTAAAATACGAGAGCTCTATCCATAATAATGCTTCCTCCAGTGAAAAGGTTGTCTCGTCTGATCCAGGAAAGAAATATGCACAGATCACTTAGTGTTTACAAGTGAAAACAGTCCCAAACAATTCTAAACAATTAATTCGGTGGATTTCGATGTGAGAGCGAACATCTGGATGAAGCATTATTATGGATTATTGTGTATTTTGCCCAGAAATGACGGATTGAAGTTAAAACACTTTAATGATGAATTAGTTTCTTACAAACATGCAGCTTTTCACATCACAAGATGTGGATAATTGTGATGTTTTTATCAGCTGTTTGGACTCTCATTCTGACGGCACCCATTCACTGCAGAGGATCCATTGGTGAAAAAGTGATGTAATGCTACATTTCTCCAAATCTGTTCTGATAAAGAAACAAACTCATCTACATCTTAGATGTCTGAGGGTGAATACTTCAACAAATTTTCTTTTTGGGTGAAATATTCCTTTAAGAAAGTATATAGGACATGTTGATAAAATATCAATACTGAATGAAACATATTCTGTATTTTGTCCTCAGCTGAGAGTTTTTAAACTAGCAAAGTCATGGCCCACCCTCAACACATTGATAAAGATCATCGGTAACTCTGTGGGTGCCTTGGGAAACCTGACACTGGTCTTAGCCATCATCGTCTTCATCTTCGCTGTGGTGGGCATGCAGCTGTTTGGAAAGAACTATCAGGACTGTGTGTGTAAGATCAGCTATGACTGCACCCTTCCTCGCTGGCACATGAAGGACTTCTTCCACTCGTTCCTCATCGTGTTCAGGGTCTTGTGCGGAGAGTGGATCGAGACCATGTGGGACTGTATGGAGGTGGCCGGACAGCCGCTTTGCATTCTGGTCTTCATGCTGGTCATGGTCATAGGAAACCTAGTGGTAAGTATGATTTCTTCTCACATAATAAGATCATCTCATATCAATATTCCATGTCCATTCATTGATTTATTTATAAAATAAATGATTTATATGGTATACCATAAATAATTTAGAATTTGCATCAGTGGCCAGCTGACTGTTCATTAACCCTTACATATTCTGTTAAATAGACTACTATAAATAAAAATAATATGTAAGCAGCTTTGCATCTTGAAATATTAAACTGCCATAAATATGCATGTCAGTTTGTATTCCTTGTGCATCTCTCAATTGTCAAATCGCTTTTGGATTCCTGGTTTATCATTCTTTGCATTTCAATATATTTTGAAGATAAACCATCATACCCTAAGAAAAATCTCAGACTGTGAGGATACACAAGATGGAATTAGAGAAATATTACTTAATTCTCCCAGATGTTCTTCTATGATCCAGTTGTGACCAGAAAATACCTCTAAGAAGAGTAACTGAAGGTCTTTTCCAGGAAAATGAGATGCCACTAAGCTTTCCTTCCTAAGTTTTCCTGTTTTGACATGACGACTGTCTTAAAAGTAGACATGATGTCATGTTAGCAATTTTGTTCTATAAAGGGACAAGTGCAATTATATTCAATCTACTTTCAAAATAGTTAGACAACATGCACAAACATTAAAATTCTTTGCTCAAAATGCGTATGAGTCATGGTTGACATCTACCATCATACTGTATATATAGATTTCCAAATGTATTTGGCAGATTGTAAACATTAAATAAATGAACCCTCAGGGTAGATGCCATATTTAGGTTGATGCAAAGGAAAATGAGTAAGTGAAGGATAGAAATGTTTGGGTTAATTGGTTATACAGTTGTTTTTGCACTAGAATACTTTTCAGAAATACTTTTTCTATACTTTTGCCAGCTATATGATTGACACCAAGGTACACAACAGTACAACCAGAACATACTGCACAGTCATGTATTCATTTGCGTCAAATGATAGCATGTACCCTGACTAAGGTCTTTTCCAAGAAAAAATAAATCAGCAAATTTTAGCTTTAACCTCCATATTTTACCCCAAACTTAAGTCCCCTGTTGTGTGTTGCTTAGAGCAGTGTTCCATGGACCCCTAGTGGTCCTTGACGTAAGGCCAGGGGGTCTGTATTAAGTATGAATTTTTGTATACATTTTGTATATTTTGACATGACATGTTACCATGAAAGAAAAATCCAATATAGCTGATGATATGGCCAAATACTGGACAAGTCAACTAACTTGAATTATACTTGATGTGACCAGTACAGTCCGATTTACGAACAAATGACTCGTATGAATCGGTTCTTGCAATGGCTCGTTCAAAAAACACACGGGTGACCGTTTTGAATCAAATTCACGTATGGCTCACTAAATCGGTCATGGCTGTTACTGAATCAACATCTGTCTCATTTACCGCATTCAACAATTTAGCTATTTTAGATAATTACTGTCGGACTTCGAATCACCTACCGTGTGCAATGTTCCGTTATGATTAATCTACTCATTTATTTTTGTGGTTTTGTGGGGAGATTTTACCAGTAACGAACTTTAAATGCGTAGAGGGAATCGCGCAGTTGGTTCATTCTGTGTGAGAAATGCGGGTTGAGTTTGTGCCACACAGATTTTGAGCACTTAAATGTTTTTTTATAGTAAAAAGGTTATAAATATTTTCACTATCAATTTGTTTAGTTTTGGTTAGTTACCCTATTGAAAGGATGCGATTTGTGTCCTGTCTACGCTATTTTAACACGCAATTTAAATCTTAGAAGCATCGAATCTTACAACGATTACACCAATCAGATGCAAGTTCGATGACTTCAACAACGGTAAAATTGATGTATACATTTTAGATTCTGACTTTATGTCAAACAGATATTGATTAGTATTAAACATATTAATTTTATTACATTAGGTTAGGCCTATAGTTTTTACATATTTTGTAAACACTAGCTCATAGTGACCACTTCTATCAAGCTTAACAGGAATCTGACTGTTATCACTTGACTTCCTGTGGGCCTTCCATGTCAAACCCTCTGTAACACAGTCCATCTCCTTCTTTCTTGGCACAAGTCAGTTTGGGATTATCTTTGCTGTCTAGTGTGATTAAAGGTAAGAGTGCAACTAATCAGGTTTCCATGACAACCCACAAAGTGGCTCTTATAATAGACTGCATGCCCTTAATCTGGAATAAAAAATACGGGGTGTCTATTTACATTTAGTTAAAAGTGGCTGGAAATCATCAGTTCCAGTGGTGCAGATGGATAAGTGCGTGGCCTTGGTTTTATAGACGCGATTGACCTGGGTTCGATCCCGCCTTTTGCCAAACGTTGTTTTCCCCCTCCCTTTTCAAGTCTCGTATTAGCAATGGATTCTATTTACACTAAGTGAAAATAGCTATATATATATATATATATATATATACCAATATTGTGCAGTTAACACCCAAAATATTGAATCAACAGATTCAGTACTAGTTTATATGAAGCCAAGAACATAAATGATAGCATATGCATCGCATTAATCGTTAGTTGTAGTGGGAATGTGATGGAATATGGGAATATGAATATGCATTGAATATGATGTATGCATTGCATGTGGGGTTTAAGCACACAGACATCCTTTCAGTAATGGCAGCTGTCTTGCTCAACAGGAAGTCGCCAGCCTCTCTGAAGGAAGTACGGTGGACTTGAGGAAGCCTGGGGAAGATGAGGAGGAATATTCTGAGATGGCAGATGATGGCATGGATCCAGAAGAGTGTTTCCCTGAGTGTAAGCTTATAATGAAACAGGATAATATTTGCTCTCCTGTGGCCATTGCTTCCACTTTGACGTACTGTATCATGTTTTTTTTGTGAGGAGCTGATCTCTCTGTATCTCTCCAGTCTGTATGCATCGCTGTAAGTGTTGCAATATCAACACGACGAGAGGTCTGGGTCAAGCGTGGTGGAGGTTGAGGAAGACGTGCTATCAGATAGTGGAGCACAGCTGGTTTGAGACCTTCATCATCTTCATGATCCTCCTCAGCAGTGGAGCTCTGGTGAGGAACCATGCTGAACAGTGAACTTTAACTATTCCATACTGTTTTGAAGTCAAAGATTAATGTAATTCATGCATTCAATTTGTCCATATTGTAATTAAATGTGTAGCTAGTCCTGGTCTTACTGTGGTATGATATTCTTCTTGGGTCAGGCATTTGAAGACATTTACATTGAACAGAGGAAGGTGGTGAAGGTGGTGTTGGAATATGCTGACAAGGTGTTCAGCTACATCTTTGTGCTGGAGATGTTTCTGAAGTGGATTGCGTATGGCTTTAAGAAATACTTCACTAACTACTGGTGCTGGCTGGACTTCCTGATTGTGGATGTGAGTAGAATAATTTTCTCTAGCTGAATACTGGATCGATGTTGAACGGTTGCACTTAGGCAGAATTTGGAATAATTACATTATTATTTTTTTTCATGGTTTTAAAAGACGTATCTTATGCTCACCAAGGCTGCATTTATTAGGTCAAAAATGTCTTTTTAAATATATTTTAAAATGTAATTTATTCCTGTGATGCAAAGCTGTATTTTCAGCATCATTCTCCAGTCTTCAGTGTCACATGATCCTTCAGAAATCATTCTAATATGCTGATTTGCTGCTCAAGAAACATTTCTGATTATAATCAATGTTGAAAACCGTTGTGCTGCTTAATATTTTTTGTCAAAACTGTAATACACTTCCATTCAAAAGTTTGGGATCAGTAAGATTAAAAAAGATAAATAAATACTTTTCAGTAACAATAATTTAGCAGTGATGCATTAAATTGATCAAAAGTGACAGTAAAGACATTTATAATTCTACAAAAGATTTCTATTTCAAATAAATGCTTTCATCAAATGTATTAATTTCCACAAACATATGAAGCAGCACAACTGTTTTCAACATTGATTATGAGAATAAATATTTATTATTTTTTATAGAAAACAGTTATTTTTAAATTGCAATAATATTCCACAATAATAATGTTTTATTTTTTCATTAAACAAATGGAGCCATGAGCCATGGTCAGCATAAAAGACTACTTTCAAAAAATGAAAAAAAAAACATTAATCATTCAAAATGTTTGCCTAGTGCTGTTCTATATTTCATACTATATTCGATTTAGTGTATTATTTAGTATAATACGCTGTAAAAAATAATTTTGAGATTTTACCATTTCAATTTTTTTTTTTTTTTGGTAGACAAACTAATTTTTTATAAATTGTCCAGACAACAAGAAAAGAAAAAGAACGTTTATTGGCCCTCAACTAAGCTGAAAGTTGAAAGAACTAGTATAACTGTTGTTTCAACTCAAAAACGCATGTTGAAACAACTGCTTAACACTGAAAAAATGAAGATACATTTTTTTAAGGCAGTGGGGTGACAAAGCTTTGTAAGATCGTTTTTTTTACAGTGTACTATATTTTGCTTTTATACAGGCAATGAAAGTAAAATAAATTTGACTTTAAAATGAGGACATTTCTGGCTAGAAAACTGCAAAAATAAATAATTTGCTGTAGTGAAGGCTGTTCATTACAGCGATTTTAGCACAGATCATGCAAAGCAGAGTGTCTAATAAAGCAATAAGCCCCAAGAAGCCGTGGTTCACAGTGAATTTATAACAGCTAAGGGGCGTTGTAAGCCTAAAAACCCCCTTAGCCGTTGTAAATTCACTGTAAACCACGGCTTCACGGGGCTTACTGCTTTTATAAAACGGTTATTCCATATACGTAGTAAGGTTTCACAGAATTCTTCCACCAAACAATGTAGTTCCTCAGAAACAGTTGTGGTTCCAACAAAGTGGTTGCAGAGCAACACACAGAAGTAAACAAAGGTGTGTGTTTGTAGTGTAATTTACAACAGCTTCGAACGTGGCTCAGCCAATCAGAATCAAGGACCGGAACTATCCGTTTTATAAACCTCATTTAATCATGCTAAACCTGTAAAATGGACACAGACGTGGCCTATCGATTGAACACAAATGTTCTGAACTGTTTAATTGGATTCACAAATAAAACAGTTCATTTGTCAAACTGTAGGCTGTTTAGGTGTAACACGCATTATATTAACTTAATATTGCCAGAATTTAGAGTCCGTCTAAGCCATCCATAATTGACATTAAAGACATAATACTACAGTTTGAATTTGTTGACTTTTGTTTGCAAGTTTTAGTTTTGTATCATTCTGGTTTTGTGTTACTGACACCTCAGACCTTTTATGGCAGATTGTATTCAGAGCGATATCAGAATTGAGATGTTATGGCAAACACATTCTTCAGACACAGAGATAACTGCACAAAATACGCATAAAACAACCACACATGAACACCTGGCACAGCATCTGGAGTAGCTCAACTAAACACAAGTGTGTCTCACCTGATGCTCATCTGACCCACACAGATCTCCACACACACCTTTAACCATAGGGTAAGTTCACAGTTCAAAGGTCAGAGGTGAGCGAAGGCTCACGTCTGTATCTCAGCTGCACTTCTCTTCTCATCCACGCCGAGATATAAATGCCACTGTCTCTCTGTCAGCAATTCATTTCGACCTGTAATTTAACATGGTGTCAAGCTTGATATGTTTAATAATTACTCCCACAGGACCTTGGCTTTTATATCAGAATATAATCACTGTATCAAAGAATTATCTGGAGAAGATCAGTTACATTTAGGACTGTTAATAAAATCAAGAATTGACATTTTAAAGGTACATTACAGTGAGACGTCTTATGATACATTTAAAGAGCATTTAAGCCGAAATCTGTATTTTAACGTTTTTATTATTTAATTTTGTACTTTTATTTGTATCATTCAATCTTGGATTTCTGAAGTTGTCTTTTAGAGCAAATTGCACACAAATATCTTCTTTAGATATATTGCAGTGACAAGGAAAACTATAGAAATTGTTTTTTTATAAAGAACTGACCATTCTTGGGACTACATAAATGAAAAAAAAAACCATTAATCATTCAAAATGTTTGCCTAGTGCTGTTCTATATTTCATACTATATTCGATTTAGTGTATTATTTAGTATAATACGCTGTAAAAAATAATTTTGAGATTTTACCATTTCAACTTTTTTTTTTTTTGGTAGACAAACTAATTTTTTATAAATTGTCCAGACAACAAGAAAAGAAAAAGAACGTTTATTGGCCCTCAACTAAGCTGAAAGTTGAAAGAACTAGTATAACTGTTGTTTCAACTCAAAAACGCATGTTGAAACAACTGCTTAACACTGAAAAAATGAAGATACATTTTTTTTTAAGGCAGTGGGGTGACAAAGCTTTGTAAGATCGTTTTTTTTACAGTGTACTATATTTTGCTTTTATACAGGCAATGAAAGTAAAATAAATTTGACTTTAAAATGAGGACATTTCTGGCTAGAAAACTGCAAAAATAAATAATTTGCTGTAGTGAAGGCTGTTCATTACAGCGATTTTAGCACAGATCATGCAAAGCAGAGTGTCTAATAAAGCAATAAGCCCCAAGAAGCCGTGGTTCACAGTGAATTTATAACAGCTAAGGGGCGTTGTAAGCCTAAAAACCCCCTTAGCCGTTGTAAATTCACTGTAAACCACGGCTTCACGGGGCTTACTGCTTTTATAAAACGGTTATTCCATATACGTAGTAAGGTTTCACAGAATTCTTCCACCAAACAATGTAGTTCCTCAGAAACAGTTGTGGTTCCAACAAAGTGGTTGCAGAGCAACACACAGAAGTAAACAAAGGTGTGTGTTTGTAGTGTAATTTACAACAGCTTCGAACGTGGCTCAGCCAATCAGAATCAAGGACCGGAACTATCCGTTTTATAAACCTCATTTAATCATGCTAAACCTGTAAAATGGACACAGACGTGGCCTATCGATTGAACACAAATGTTCTGAACTGTTTAATTGGATTCACAAATAAAACAGTTCATTTGTCAAACTGTAGGCTGTTTAGGTGTAACACGCATTATATTAACTTAATATTGCCAGAATTTAGAGTCCGTCTAAGCCATCCATAATTGACATTAAAGACATAATACTACAGTTTGAATTTGTTGACTTTTGTTTGCAAGTTTTAGTTTTGTATCATTCTGGTTTTGTGTTACTGACACCTCAGACCTTTTATGGCAGATTGTATTCAGAGCGATATCAGAATTGAGATGTTATGGCAAACACATTCTTCAGACACAGAGATAACTGCACAAAATACGCATAAAACAACCACACATGAACACCTGGCACAGCATCTGGAGTAGCTCAACTAAACACAAGTGTGTCTCACCTGATGCTCATCTGACCCACACAGATCTCCACACACACCTTTAACCATAGGGTAAGTTCACAGTTCAAAGGTCAGAGGTGAGCGAAGGCTCACGTCTGTATCTCAGCTGCACTTCTCTTCTCATCCACGCCGAGATATAAATGCCACTGTCTCTCTGTCAGCAATTCATTTCGACCTGTAATTTAACATGGTGTCAAGCTTGATATGTTTAATAATTACTCCCACAGGACCTTGGCTTTTATATCAGAATATAATCACTGTATCAAAGAATTATCTGGAGAAGATCAGTTACATTTAGGACTGTTAATAAAATCAAGAATTGACATTTTAAAGGTACATTACAGTGAGACGTCTTATGATACATTTAAAGAGCATTTAAGCCGAAATCTGTATTTTAACGTTTTTATTATTTAATTTTGTACTTTTATTTGTATCATTCAATCTTGGATTTCTGAAGTTGTCTTTTAGAGCAAATTGCACACAAATATCTTCTTTAGATATATTGCAGTGACAAGGAAAACTATAGAAATTGTTTTTTTATAAAGAACTGACCATTCTTGGGACTACATTTAATAATCCACAAATGGAATCTATAAACTGAATCTTAAACACTGTTTGGACTGATGAAAATCAAGCAAAAGAAAATCTGATCAAAAGAAATGATTTTAAAGAAAAACTCAAATTCTTTATAAAACCTCACTCTATTTTATATATATGCATATTGATTATGCATATATATTTGAGTATGTAGGTATAGACATTGATGTACATATGTGCATACTTGTCCGTGTTTTGTCTTCATTTCACCACATCAGCCGACCGTTCCTGTGGCCACAACCTGCCATTACAACAGAAAGCCATTCTGTTCTACACTGTCTGTCTACTCTGACTGTAGAATAGAGTGGAAACCTATTGTGATTTTAAACTGATTTGTAAAACTGATCTAATTTATGTCCCAATAAATGTGTTCCTATAGAATGTCCCAAAAGTGCAAAAAATATCAATTTTTCCTTTTATAAATAAATTGCATCTAGTTACATATTATAGTCTATTTAACATAAAAAGCCATTCAGAGAGGTGTTTTATTAATATTAATTAAAAAAATTCTTATTAATATTAAGTATTTTATTAAAAAGTAATCTATTTTTCTCCAATTGCAGGTGTCTTTGATTAGCTTGGTCGCTAACTCTCTGGGCTACTCAGACTTTGGGGCCATTAAATCTTTGAGGACTCTCAGAGCTCTGAGGCCCCTGAGGGCCCTGTCTAGATTCGAAGGAATGCGGGTAAGCTTACAGTTTTACAGGGAATTCACTGCGATTATACCGCCCTGCATAATATATGTTGAATGTCCAATACATTTCTTAAAAATGTTGGACTGCTGATTGCAACAATAGTGTCTGTTTTGCTCAAGCTCGTCACACTTTCACAAACTATGATGCATTTTGTTGCATTTTTGCTTTTGTGACAGCCATAAGGTGAAGAAGTCACGTATTATCACTTAATCAGCAGAAAAACTGCCACAAAGACACGATTCCTGTCTTCCTCTGTGCCAGACCACAACTATTTGTTCAATTGTCTGGCGATTTTCACATACGTATATGAATGATTCTGAAGACATTTTATGTTTCATCCTGATTACAAGGTTAGAATTATGACCAGTGACAGAAGAAAATGCAAACATAAACCTGATGTTTTCTGCTACATCTGTGGGTGTTTAGTACATCCAAACAAGCACAGAAAATGACAAATGTTGTTGTTTAAAAAAATGTATAATAATAATAAAAAATGAATGTATTTATAAACTTTTTAAATGTAAAGTTCATTAATATATTAAATTGAGTATTTACATATTGTAAGTTAATTGATGCATTTTGAATACTTAATTTTTGACGTTTTCATAAGTGCATTAAAGCTGATATAAATATAAATATATATATAAAATCTTCATTCTTATTTTGTGAACTTGTGAAAATTTTAATTGACACTTTTGAACCCAGCCTCATCAAATTTGTTAATACTAGGCTTTTTTGCAAATCAGCAAAAAAAAAAAAAAATTATTATCAGTAATTTAGTATGAATAGGATGGTTAAATTAAAGGGTTAGTTGACCCAAAAATGAAAATTAGCCCATAAATTACTCACCCTCAAGTCATCCTAGGTGTATATGACTTTCTTCTTTCAGACGAATCCAGTCGGAGTTATATTAAAAATTGTCTTTGATCTTTCAAGCTGTTTAATGCCACTCAGCAGGTGTTGCATGCATCAGTCCAAAAGAGGTTAAATAAAAAGCACCCATCCATAAAAAAGTGTCTCACACGGCTCCATTGAATATGGATATTTTGAATGTATCCATATCCAAAACATAATAATAACTTTAATGTAGCTTGCGCAGGGGGAAGTCGTGGCCTAATGGTTAGAGAGTCGGACTCGTAACCCAAAAGGTTGTGGGTTCAAGTCTCGTACAGGCAGGGATTGTAGGTGGGGGGAGTGAATGTACAGCGCTCTCTCTCCACCTGCAATACCACGACTGAGGTGCCCTTGAGCAAGGCACTGAACCCCCAACTGCTCCCCGGGCGCCGCAGCAAAAATGGCTGCCCACTGCTCTGGGTGTGTGTTCACTGCTGTGTGTGTGTGCACTTTGGATGGGTTAAATGCAGAGCACTAATTCCAAGTATGGCCACATGTCACTTCACTGTCACTGTCACTCACTGTTGTATACGAAAGCAGCTCTGGGCGGATGACGTATGAGGTCAGTGCTGCGCATGCGCCGGTGAGTCTTGTGAAAACCAACATTTGTTAACAAGAGCAAAGGAAGCAAATTTTCCTTACTTTAGCAAAGGAAAACCAGTCTCCTCTTGGCTTATTTCGAAATCCTCTGACATTCTTCTTTACAAATCCTCATTTTGTACTTCTAATTAGTGACCGTTGTTTTGTTTTGATCTCTCTGCTGCGCTTCCGCATTCGTCACTTCTGAACGGTGCATGTGCAAAGCTGACCTCATACGTCATCCGCCTGCACTGCTTCCGTGTACAACTGTTGGCGCAAGCTACATTAAAGTGATTATTACGTTTTGAATATGGATATTTTTCTTACAAAAACGCATCAATTCGCTACAGGAGGCCTTTGTTCACCCCCTGGAGCTGGGTGAGACACTTTTTTTTTATGGATGGGCGCTTTTTATTTAACCTCTTTTGGACTGATGCATGCAACACCCGCTGAGTGGCATTAAACAGCTTGAAAGATCAAAGACAATTTTTAATATAACTCTGACTGGATTCATCTGAGAGAAGAAAGTCATATACACCTAGGATGACTTGAAGGTGAGTAATTTATGGGCTAATTTTCATTTTTGAGTTTACTAACCCTTTAAATTAGCATGTCTTGAGAAATGCATAAAGTTTTATGTTATTTTTTTTTATTTGCTTTGGTGATCTAGCACTGTGGTTGGATGAAGTTACATTATGATTGCTTCCTGTATGGTATCACATCCCAATTTTCTGTCATCCAGGTGGTGGTGAATGCTCTGATCGGGGCCATCCCATCCATCATGAACGTACTGCTGGTGTGCCTGATCTTCTGGCTCATATTTAGCATCATGGGTGTAAATCTATTCGCTGGGAAATTCGGGAAATGTGTCAACAGGACAGGATACATTCTCAGTGTAACCCTGGTCAACAACAAGAGTGACTGCCAGTCCATGAATGACACCCAGTTCTACTGGACCAAAGTGAAAGTCAACTTCGACAATGTGGGCCTTGGATACCTCTCACTTCTGCAGGTGGTGAGTGTCTCGAGGGTTGTGCTCCATTCAGAATTGCACTGAGAATGATTTTACCGAGCTGCCAAACAGGATGCTATATAATAACTACAATTCAAATTCAAATGTAACCCTTGTTTCCAGTCAAAAGAGACCAGCCATTTAATAATTGCTTGTAAATCTCTTTTTATTATGCTATATTATCAACAAATATTGGATTCAATGCTTTTGTCAAAGTGCAAAAAGCATTATTTGTGGATAATTTTGGCAATTTAAAAAAATGCATAAGCGCAGATCTATGAGACCTATGATCATTCAGTTCCAAAAATACAAACTCTGCAATAATTGAAAGAAAACTAAAAAGTTGCTAAAGAAGTTGAAAGTTGCCAGAAAGACAGAATCCAATATTTGGTAAAAATATAGCAAAACAGTACATTTATAAGCATTTTTTGGAGACTGGTCATACCAAAAGTATAACAAGGTGAGAAAAAAATTCCCCAAAAGGTAGAAAAATTATACTATATTTTTAGAGGAAATGTTTATGCCCCATGTGAAATTAAATATCAACACATATTCAATATAATGTTTTTAGAAAATTTTAAATAATTTATTTTTAAACCATTGCTAATTGTTTTGAAATCAACCCCAAATTCAAGATAAGGGAGCAAAAAATGCTCCTGCACAATTAAAGTAAATCTGTTATGCAGATTCTTATGCACCTTTGTAGTGTAAATATGGCTTTTTGTTGATGTTCTTAAATTTGTATTGAAGTAATTGGTTAAATTTAAGTATTTGACAGAAAAGACAACACAGATACATTTAAGGAAATTTTGGAAATGATACATGTAAGGAAATTAGGCTATAAAAGTGAAAAGCTAATTTCTGACGCTGTTCCATTCCAATTCACGCTCATTAATGTAAAGGGAGCCAATTCTTAAATTCTGAACTCTGGACATCTTGAGCAGTTCAGTCCAGGAAGGACTTTTGGTGACTGTGCTGTAGAATCATCATATTTGTTAAGGTAGCCAAGCAACCAGAGTTTTTCAGGGGCCTGCAACTCCTCGCTGGGCCTTAACCTATCATTTACCTCTAGGAACAGTCTCTCAATCACCACAGGTAATAATTTCTGTAACCATGGCAACGACATCTAAAAATGGCCTAGCTTAATGGCGTTCATGCTGACTCTTGGTGAGTCACAACTCTTTGTCTTTACAGAAGGTATGAAACTTAAATGCGTAATTATCTCAGACTAAAAAGCCAAGTTTCGCTATGGTCAGGCTTGGAAAGAAATGTGCTCAGCTAGAAGCAGAACATATATTTGAATAAATTGAAAATCTTTCTCTTTTAGATGGACATTCAAGCATTCTTAAATATTTTGTTTTTCAGGCAACATTCAAAGGCTGGATGGAAATCATGTACGCTGCCGTCGATTCCCGTGGAGTAAGCATGTTCATTTCATTCCTGAAATTAATGACTTGCATCCAAATTCACAAAAGAACAACCTAGGTATTAACTACAAACTATCATAATCTTAAAAATAATAGTTCCAATTAAAAGAGAGTTCTTTGGAAAACCGGTTTGTCAAGAAAGCCATTCAAAGAGCCTAGAACATTTTAACCTCCAGAGAACCAATTAGGAACTCAGTTACCCAATGCTAGAAAAATTTCAACCCAAGGTGCTGCAAATAACTATTGAAGAAACGTCTAGGTTACTTGTGTAACTCTCGTTCCCTGAAGGAGGGAACGGAGACGTTACGTCAGTGACTGACGAATTGGGATCTCGCCCGAGAGCCCAATCACCTTCGAGTGTTAACCAAACAAGCCAATGACAGTTGGCGTGCGTGTTTCGCCACACGCACCCCATGTAGAACGTGACTGACTGAATGGGAACTTCATTTTAGAGCTTTAGACTGTCCGGAAAACCATCTTTGTGAGTCTCTAAGATTTATGTTGTTCTTGTTTGTCAGGTTGAGGAGCAGCCCGTCAAAGAGATAAACCTCTACATGTACATCTACTTCGTAATTTTCATCATCTTTGGATCCTTTTTTACCTTAAATCTGTTCATCGGTGTCATCATCGATAACTTCAATCAACAGAAAAGAATGATAGGTGTTTAAGTTTAACTTCTCTTCCAAAAGCATTTAGTTTACATTTATTGTGTCCCATGAAAAAAATAACATCTGCTTGTTCTCTGTACTAAAGGTGGCCAGGATATATTCATGACTGAAGAGCAGAAAAAGTACTACAATGCAATGAAGAAACTTGGATCGAAAAAGCCACAGAAGCCAATTCCAAGACCAGTGGTAAGATGATGAATTTGAACATTTTTGTAACTAAAAATCTCATACCGAATTCCCTTTCTAATTTCTCACCATAAACACATTTCCATCTAGAACATTTTACAAGGATTCTTCTTCGACTTGGTGTCCAAGCAAGCCTTTGACATTACCATCATGATGCTCATTATTCTCAACATGATAACCATGATGGTCGAGACTGATGAACAATCTGCTCGCATGGAGACCATCCTCAATAACATCAACCTGGCCTTCATTGTCATCTTTACCACTGAATGCCTCATCAAGATGTTTGCCCTCCGCTGTTATTTCTTCACCATTAGTTGGAACATATTTGACTTTGTAGTCGTTATTCTGTCCATCGTTGGTAAGTGCACGACTTTACAGTCTGGTAAGTGGTACGTGTGGCTAATTCAAGATACTTCCCTGCTGAAAAGACCAACTTGGTTTATACTGGTTAGCTCTTTGGTACGGGTCCATCTGGTCACCGTTATGGTGAAGCCAAAGAAGGATTGCTGGTTTGATTAAGTCAGTTAAGAAACTTTGCAGAGACACCAGCTTGTCTTTTCAACTGGGTTGTTGTGATCTGAGATGTTCATAGTGCCATTCCTCAAGAGATTTTCAAGCGAGTCCACCTTCTATGTGTTGATATCTGGTTTTAATTTGTCCTTCCTCTTAGGAATTGTCCTTGCTGACATAATAGAAAAATACTTTGTATCCCCAACTCTGTTTCGTGTGATCCGGTTGGCAAGAATAGGACGAGTTCTCAGACTAATACGAGCAGCTAAAGGAATAAGGACGTTACTTTTTGCCTTAATGATGTCGCTGCCGGCGTTGTTCAACATCGGCCTCCTGCTCTTCTTGGTCATGTTCATCTATGCCATTTTTGGCATGGCAAACTTCGCCTACGTAAAGAAGCAGGGCGGGATTGACGACATGTTCAACTTCGAAACCTTCGGGAACAGCATGATCTGCCTTTTCCAGATCACCACATCGGCCGGTTGGGATAACCTACTGGATCCCATTCTCAACAACTCTCCGGAAGAATGCAGCTCGAGTTACATCAACACCGGAACCAATACCAAGGGCAACTGCGGCAACCCCTCGGTAGGGATCACTTTCTTCGTCAGCTACATCATCATTTCCTTCTTGATCGTGGTCAACATGTACATCGCCATCATTCTGGAGAACTTCAGCGTGGCCACCGAGGAGAGCGCTGAACCTCTGAGCGAGGATGACTTTGAGATGTTCTACGAGGTTTGGGAAAAGTTTGACGTAGAGGCCACGCACTTCATCGAGTACTCCAAACTCTCGAGTTTCGCCGACAGCCTTTCCGAACCTCTGAGGATCACCAAACCCAACAGAATCAAACTCATCAACATGGATCTACCTATGGTGAGCGGTGACAGGATCCACTGCCTGGACATCCTGTTCGCCTTCACCAAGCGGGTCCTCGGGGAGACGGGAGAAATGGACGCTTTGAAGCAGCAAATGGAGGAGAAGTTCATGATGGCGAACCCTTCCAAGATATCCCACGAGCCCATCACCACCACGCTGCGGCGCAAGCAGGAGGAGATTTCGGCATTTCTGATCCAGCGTGCCTACCGGCGGCACCTGGTTAGACGGCAAATGAAGCAGGCGTCTTACCTGTACAAGCACATAAACCAAGACGCACACTGGTTGGAAGAGGACGGCGCTCCGGAGCGGGAAGGACTCATAGTGTCAATGATTAAAGAGCACTACGGTCCCGAGAAGGGGCCGCCGTACTTAGCTTGCTCTCCGCTGTCCTATGATGCTGTAACAAATTATCCTAGTGACCACTCTCAATCCAGTGAGCCTCATAAATCAGAAGAGACGTATGACGAGACCTTTCTTTAGGAACTCTTTTCTAAGTAACCCATCTTTGCTTGCTTTTTTTTTTTTTTACCATGTTTGGATGTGTGTAAATGTGTGTGTAAGTGTCTAATCAGGAGGAATCCAAATGCAAACAAGATTTCACTTTTTTAATCTGTAAGAAAATGTTTGGACAACCTGTTGTTTTTGTCACAAAATATGGCATGGAATCATGGGAAACGGACAAAAATGCATGGATGTAACTTTTCAGGTAGAGAATGTATTTTAGCTCAGATGTGTTGCACATATCGCAACTGTAATATTGTACAGATGTTATTTTGGTGGTTTGCTATAAAGCTTTACGCCAACATGTAGTTTTTCATTTCTCAGGATTAAGTGAGGAATGTTATCACTTTTTTTCACTTGATGAGAGTACTGGTGTAAGGAAAAGGCCCCTAAATGCAGTTGGAATGACTACAGTGGAAATTTCCTCTTACAAAGTTAATAATTTAGCATTTTTATCAGCGCTTGAGGAATTTTTGTTTTCTTGTTGAACACAAGTAGGAAACTGTGTTTTAAAATGGTTTAATGGACTACTTAAGTCAGTACATGTACATGTTCCTGATTTTATTATGCACAAGTGGTGCATGCTATTCCAAAGAAAGAATCGATGTAATCTTTCATCAAAATGAAACAACTTTCCTGGCTGATGTTATGTATTTCTCAACCCATTCTCTCCAACAGCTTCGCTCCATTTTGACATGCAACGCCTACTTTTAATGATTCAATCAATTCCCAGTGGATAAAAATCCAGAATCGCCTAAATTGTTCTGGGTTAAATATCCTGTTTCACTAAACTTACAGCAGTAAAATGTTGAATTAACTGAAATAAAATGGATATACAGCTATGTTTAATACAAAATTTGGATCAGCTGAAATTACCTTCAGCTCTTATGTTTTATTTAAGGGCTTTTTCTCAATATGTTGCCCATTGAAATGCTTTAGTCTGGATCATAGAAGATTGTCAGAGTGTCCTAATTACTCATAACCTCATCACTGTTTTTTTCCATGTCAGGAATATGAATTTACATGCATCAAATGCATTTCTGTGACTAAACTATATATTAACTAATATAATGTACATAAGCAAATGGGAAGAAAAGTACAGTTGTATCATCAACATCCATGTACAGGTATATCAATTTCTGTGTTCAACTCCTTTTTTTTATGAAACAATGCTGTCCTTTCCACAAATTGTTCTCTCTATTGTATTTTATTTCAAAGGGCATTTATGAAACATGAAACACAATAAATAATTTTCATGTCTACATTTGAATAAAATCCTGATGGACTGAGGGATGGATGACAATCTCATATTTGCAATCTAATTTTGTCATGTTACATTGACACACAAATTGCATCAGCTGAATGCCCAGAATGACAAAAAAACATTTTAAATTGTGAGATAAACTTACAGTTGTGAGGGAAAAAAAGTCTACAAAATAGTCATTTAACTATATAGGCAAGCACCAAACAAAATACTTTCTTGGCCCTTTTTAAGTTCATCATTTCTCAACCTGAACATGGGTCTGTAAGCAGCTACTGTCTGTCTTCTGAACATTAATCACCATTTTGACCAGCCTTCCTTTACTTTGGTGGGACCAAAAAATGGGCGCTGCATTCTCAACAGTGCATGTGGCAGTTTTTGTTGATTTTGCGTAGTTTGTACTCTCAGCTCTTGGTTAGGGAGCCAATTTGGCTTCGTCCCCTGGGAGTTTGCCCTTTCTCCAGCCCAGGGTGAGGGTGTTCAAATCCTCCAGACCAGCTGGACCCCCAGGATAATCCCAGCAGAAAATAATCACTTGTTTTAATTACACACAAATGCACTCATACTTAAGTTCGCTCAGTCACAGACCTCCAAACTGCTACCTTTTACAAATGCAGCTGCCTTTTGCATTTTGGAAAGGTGATGTTTTCAGAGTTTATTTTCAATGATTTTTACATTCTATTGGAAAAAAATAATGTCTTAAAGTGATTTAAAAATAATAATGTTGGGATATTTTGAATTTATGGGATGATTGTGATGGGTGGAACATCTTGAATCAAAAAGCCACCTTTGCTTTTTTTATTTTATGTGATAGCCAGAATGTTTAGCATGAAGAAATTATATTATATTTTTATATATATATATATATATATATATTGAACTTGGCACCTCAGAATTTCAGTGACTGTGTAACATTTTCCCTGACCTAGCATTTCCCAGACACACATTTTTTCTACTTTTTATTTTATTTGGTACTTTATGCTATCCGTATAAAATGTTTACAACTTTTTGTTTCTCCATTTAGTTTCTGCACATGCTTTCATTTGAATTCTTTGTGTCTCTGGATCGCTTGAAAGAAATCCACTTTAATGAATGTGTCTGCGTAATTGATCTGATGTTTAAACATCTGAACATGTGGCTGGGATTAAGCTCGACTACAGGAAACCCATTATTACAGATTAAAATGCACTATAAATAATTACACACACACATGTTTCTGTCATCTTCTATAAAAATAATCTAAATTACCAAAAAAAGTGATAATTTTTTAAAAGAACATAAAAACAGAAAGTGCTTTGGTATTTTTGATTTGGAACACAAAAAGAACGCAATCAATGAGTAAATGTGATTAGAGCTAGATTAGTCCCAGAGTGACTGATTAAGTTTGTTCACTTAAGGATGTGAACGCTCTTAAGCAGGATACATGTGTTTGTGTTCCCGTTGCCATGGTCACCCTGTTCTAATGATTGAAAAGCTCCACTTGATTGGTCTCGCTTTATGATTATGTTAGCAAAAAAACTAAACAAAAAAAACCAATAGAAATTACAAATAAGTCAAAGCTTGTAGGAAATGGTTCTATTGATCATTTATGCACATTCAACTCCATCATATATTCAAATTATATTAAATTCTATTATGTATACAAAATAAACATAAAATTCTATTTTATGATTACAATATGAATTTGACATAATAGGTTTTTTTCATTAGTAACCCTAAAGCACCAAATCAGCTCCATCTTATATTCAAAGTATATGATGTATATATATGATTTGATGAATAATATAAAATATAATGTAAATATATTTCATTACTAACACTAAAGCACTAGGTCTAACTCTCATATATTCAATTTTTGATGCATACATGTATATCTATCTATCTATCTATCCATCATCCATCCAGCCATCCATCCATCCATCCATCCATCCATCAATCCATCCATCCATCCATCCATCCATCCATCCATCCATCCATCCATCCATCCAGCCATCCATCCATCCATCCAGCCAGCCATCCATCAATCCATCAATCCATCCATCCATCCATCCATCCATCTATCCATCCATCCATCTATCTAATACATAGTATAATATAAATATTAAATTACATTACTAAAATTAAAGCACTACTCTAGCGCTGCAATAATTTGATGATGTCACTTCTTCAAATATTTTGTCAGAAAGCTCAAAGCAGTGGATGAGGAGGAGAAAGACAGACCGACAGTATGCATTAGTGTGTATTGCATCATTATACAGTACCTTGCAACATTTGTTGGTTTATTGCTATTGCAATGTCTTTGGTAGACATTTGGGAGATAAACCAAATATAGTATGTATGCATAAAGAATATTTGAATGTTGAGGAATAGGAAATAATAACTAATCCTTAAACAAATGCATGAATGAATAAACGTTCATATTATGACATCGTGGAGCACTACAGCCGGAAATGTGATTCCAATTCTTGAAATACAAAAGCAAATGTGTACAGCACCATCTTCCGAGAAACAAAACAATTCATAATGTGATCATAATAATCCGCCATAGAAAAAATGCAATTAACGGCATCCATCTGTTGGTGCAGTGCTGGCTTAGAAAGGTTTGGAGAAATCCTGACCCGGAGGGGAGCTCCGCTTATTTCCACTGAACTCAGAAAGAGCTCTTTCCTGAAACAGCCCTTTTGTTGTTGTTGTTCTTCTTTTTATTTCATTCCATTTTTTTCTGGCCATTATTTAATCTTGAATATTCATGCGTAAGAAACAAAGTACGATCAAGTCATGACTTTGACATGAACTATAGCCATTAAAAAGTTGTTGAAAGTATTCCACACTGCAACAGTAGCCTTAAGTTGCATATTATTATAAAGCAAATTGTTAGCTTACATAGCTGCAGTCTAACATGTTATTTCTCATCTCATTGTCTGTGTCACGTCACTTACCAGATGTTTTCTTTCCGCCAAGCCAGTTGAAATGTGTGTAAGGGAGAGATTTGAGAGTTGCAGTAGATTTTGCTTGAACAAAGATTTACATTTTGGTTTGTTTCTCACACAAATCCATTCGGAGACTTCAGAAATCTTGGAATCTAGTGCACAAGTGTGGACTATATAAATGGCTTGACAAGTGCAGCTGTATTTCCTGTATTAACATACTTCCTATTCAAACTGGAAGTGGAGGCGGAACATATTAAAGGTCTTTATTCTTTTTTTTTTACAAAAGCCAATAGCCTTCAGTTTATGTAAAAGCCATGAACTTTGATTTGCAGCTTGCTATTGCCAGTCATCAGTGGGTGGGTCATTCTCATTCTAGAGAGCCTCTGATTGGTCAAAACGAGTGAGTGCAGGATGAGTCACAGTAAAATTTGAATTTTTAAAAAAGCTCTCATATACTGTATATATATATATATAATAGCTCTGCTTCAAAACACTAGAACATGGATTTTTAAATCAAGAAACATTTATTTGAGAATCAAAATGACATAATAGATTGTTTTCTGAGAAATGTATCAAAATTTTCAAACGTTTTCATACATCACTGATATTTTTGTTTTTGTTTTAAGCATAAAATAACTTAATTTGGCTCAATTCCAACAGATTTACCAAGCTGTCATTCAAACAGTATATATACAAATAAGAAAAAGGCAAAACACGCCTAAGCTGGATATAGGCTACAGCAGTCCGGCTTAATTAAATGGCACAACAGCCAGCTCTCTTTTAACACAGACTTTTAAGAAGGGATGGATGCAGGGTGCGAACTACGGGGGAGCTCGGCTCCCCTTAATAAGACACGGGCTCCCCTGAAAACTTGATTTGTGAAATTTTGGGGGGTCTCAAAAAATATTGACAATGTGTTATTTTGACTTGCAATTTCAGTTTTGTGTAATGTGATCATCGTGGATTATTATGTGTAAAATTGCAAAAATATCATGCATGACAGCGATTTAAACTTAATTCACTTCAAAAAAGATAACTATGCATACTATTCTTGTCATGAGCATCAATGCTCCCTTAGCCTGTATAATACAGCATGTGGTGTATGCAATGCCTCATCTTACCTCATAGTTTTTGTTAGTAAAAGATTTGTCATTGTTTCTTACTGTTTTATTGTTGTTGTGCTTTTTAATTGAAAATAACAATGAATCCATCTTTTGTTTTAGTCTTAAACAGTGAAAGGTGTATAGATGTAAGCAAAACAGACAATTAACTTTTATTGTAAAACGTGACAAGATCGGCGAAAATGAAAGCATCCCAATCCCGGCTTATAACATAGTAAAAGAGGAACTCCCGTTCACAAAATTCAGATCACAAATAATACTACTGATGAAAAAGAATTTCCATATAACTATGAACTATGATAAAAGTTCATCAGCATGCATTGATTATGATTAATCCCAAAAAAAACGTGCTCATGCGACCAACTGAGAAAGTTAGTCGCAAAAGAGCGACCAGTGGGAAGAATGAGTCAGGAGCCCTGAATTGCCCAGCTCCCTCTGTCAATGATCTAGCACCCCCTCAGCACCTGCGTTCAAAATTCTCTGGCGCCGCCCCTGCTCTGTGAGAAAATGAACGTGTGGTGCGAGCGGCTGGATATGGCAAGCCAAGAGGTTCACATTTACGCTATAAGTAAATGTGAACCTTTTGGCTTGCCATAGCTGGAACTGGACGAGATGAAGCTGAGTGATGAACTATGAAATAGTAGCATATTAATTATTGGGGTGGGCGATCAGATGTCAGCTGTGGCTCAGCCACTGGTTAGCATGTCTATTTTAAGCAGGTTGTGTTGTGACTGAGGATTTCAGTCATTTGTCATTCGTGCTCTGTTATTGTAGATCCTTAGAGGGACAGAGGACTCTGGCGAGATATATCTGCGGGTATTAAATATTTGGGACTGTCCATATGTCCCGTCTCCTAACCTTGCAGTCAACATCTGTCCCTTCCCGTCTGGAGTCAAAACACTTC